TTGAGGTATTGCTGGAATAATTCTATATCGTGGCTTATTCTGTTCTTTGGGATGTCTGAAGAAGACTCAGGCATACCCTTTACGATGATGCATTTATTGCGATCAATAGGGCGCTGGCGTTTATTTTTATACGCACAGTTGGCATCCCGAAAGCTTTTGTTGCCATCGATGTCCCCTTCAGCGACAGTTGTCGTGGTATGGCTACCGCAGGGTTCCTCGTTTATCGAGGCTTCCTGGTCATGAGGTACCTCTTGCGTCAGTGAGGCATCTTCTTGTCTTCTGTGGGGACTCTGCTCTCCCCTGCTGGCGCTCTGACATACTTGGTCTTTTTGGGATGCTTTGAGACGTCTCCTGGTTTTTTGAGATGCCCTTCGGTTATTTTGCGCTCGCACATGAGATGTGGTCTCGGTTGCAATGGGGTCCGTAGACGGGCTGTCTTTTTTTTCAGGGGCTAATACAGTTATTGAAGTCGTATTGGCCGTTTTTTCGGTCATCTTGCGAACTTCCCACATCGCCACCTTTCTCCTTTCGGGTGAATAGTGAGGCAGTCTCATCAGCTTCTCCATCTCAAATCTTAAATTCCTTATATCCTTCTCCATCTCCAAGATTTTCTGAAGGAGTCTAAAACATGACGTGCAGGTTTCGTCCTCGCATTTAACATCCAATAAAGTTATTAGACTCCTTGCGCGTTTGGCGGGAGGTGATTTCACAGCCGAAGACTTATCGCAATAGTCATTTGCACAGCGTTTTTCTGTTATTTCATTATTTTTGTCAAGCCGGCTGCCGCGCGTAAGTGGCGTAGTGGTAGCGACAATGTCAGCATCACTATTGTGCCCGGGTTCGAATCCGTCCCGAAGCGGTTGTTTTGCCCAATATCTGGAGGACCCTGAATCGACTGCCATTATTAAGCCAATAAACTTAAAACGTTTTTAACGGTATGGAAACGATTAAAAGCGAGATCAACGGTATGAAGTAAGTAGAAAACGACTCAGCCGTTATTGTATTTCGGGAATATGGCGGTGCGACTGTCAGATGTGGTCGGAAGGTGACAGGTTTTCCGGACGAAACTCCCGTTGAAATTCGGTGTGGATCCAGATATTGCTGTGAAGAATCGACTTGTTAATTCCGAGAGGCCGTCAGGGTGTCCAGGACTCAGGAGACTCGGAAAAGTTAAATCCCTCGGAGATCGAAATTTTCAAACCGAATTCAAAAGACGCGGGACCAGAAATAAGCGAGACGGGATTTAAAATTAAGAGTTTTAGATCCGACATTTTAGATCACCCTGAAAAATCAGCCACTTTCTCGTAATTTTATAATTTGCAAGAAATCCTTGCATTCCCCTCCTAGAGAGTTTCTGGAGGACCGTACAAAATGGGTTGGTCCGTCCAACCAAATGTGTCTACTGTTTTTATTTCAGTAGCAAATGTAATGTAAAATAAGTGTAGATGGGTAGTCGAGGCCTCTGCAGGCAAGTTAGGGGTGTGATCGAAGTTAGGCCGAGACAGAACGCAGTGGTGCGCTTCTGTTATACAACGACAAGTTGTAGAGGCACGCTGTGTTTCGTGACACATGTTTAGCTTCAAAGGCAGTGGAGCCTTGGAGAATGTAGTTTAGGATAGAGTAAAGAAGAAGGAGGGCAAATTTAATGATTTTGATGGTCATGCTTATGAGAGCATAATTCAACGATTTAGTTCGGTTACGGGGCGCAGTTCAGACGCTCCGGTTAGTCCTGATGTTTCGATCTGGGGTTCTCACAGTCATCAGAATGGCACCGACCAGCTAACCATTAGAAACTACCAACGCAAACACGAGCGCTGAAAGGGCCATTACTTCCTCATCGATTGACACCAGCCATCTCAAGTTCAGACCGGAAGCCCCTAAATTAGAACTGAGGCGCGAGGGATTTCAGAAGAGGACGCTCTACAGGCTGAGCCACAAGTTGAAACCCTATTTGATGGAATCAGAGCTGTACAAAGTTAAGTATTAATCACATTTGTCCCTCGGCACCCAATACGGGACGGGCTACTGCTGATCAAAAGGACTATTCTAGTTTCCCTCGACGTTGCCGACAAGTGAATCTTATTGCCCAATAAGTCGGTAACCTTCCCCATCCGCAGGCAAACAGCTTTCTATTTAATCAGTATACTTTTGAAGGAACCGACAGTTCCTTCGGAGGACATTTTTACAGGTGGTTGTACAAGTTGCGATCCACAAAGTATTTGTACAGGAATCTTGCTGAGGGACAATTAGGAGGTTGGTTAAAACGACCCAGTGAATGACAGACGGGTGCTACACTGTTTGTCACTAACTAGTCAGCATCCTCAGGCGAACAATGGCTGTCACAGATGTCACACGCTACTAAGTAGTCTACTATACCGACGGCACACGTACCAGCTAAAAGCCCACACACAAACGCTTCGCCAAACGTGTGCCGCTGCACGAAGTACATGACAGGTGTTCTACTTATCAGACAGTCCCCAACGTTCGCCATGTGTTTTATGTTACACAAACTCCACTCCCCATGCTGACTTGTTTAATTTCCAAAAAATCAGTGTGCGAACTTGGAATAAGTTCTTCAGAGCAAAGCTTTCTTTAGGTTCGGTTTTGAGGTTGGGGCCCGACTTATGAGCCAAATCCCTCGCAGCTACGTTATGCAGCGGCGAAAGATAGGCCAAGCGTCGTATGTGGGGTTTTAGCTAGTACTTTTGCTGTCAACAGTGTAGACAACTAAGGTGCTGACTGCTTAGTGACTAACAGTGTAGCACTCATCTGTCATTCACTGTACCGCGTGGCCGGTTTTAAGGGCAACCATCATCCTATTACTGTCTTAATAGTCCAAATACGCACGCGGGAAGTATGTGAATAGGCAGTAAGCTGGGGATGTCAACCCCTCTCCACACGAGGCTTCACAGAATATGATCGCTAAGCAGTGTCTGTGGCGTGACCCTCCAATCAATATTTATATACACCTAAAACGGGCCACGCGGTAGATGCAGTGGACAAATACGCCGGTTAGACCGGAGTCCGGCAGGCGTTATTAGGAATGTGCACCCTTAACAAATGCCAACATTGGGGACGTAACGGCAGGCCTGTTGCAGGTGTACGCCGTGCCAATTTGGATTGGTATCGTCCTCACCATTTTCTCTTGTTACATAAAATCCTGATAAGTGTACGTTGTGGACCGGGAGGTGTAATGGTACGCCTAGGTGCATACTTTCGCCGTGTCAGCTACCTGCGGCCTCTCCCACTTCCTGTCTACTTGACTCTGTCTCGATATCAGGCCCAGGTGGGGAGAAGGGGAGAGTGCGGTAGATGCATCGCGAGTCTACTATCACTGTAAACTAACTCGCGCGCAAGACACCGTCCCTGCTCCCACCCCGCTGTGGAGGATACGGTGGACATCATCGGTCACGAAGGCCAAACTGTCGTAACAAGTACTACTGTGTTTCACATTTTGACTGCGAAGTTCTTCAGTATGCAGGGCAAGGAAAACAGTCGTCCTTCCTCAGCGTGCTCGCGAGGCGGCACCCTGACAGCATACTTGAAGCTAAAGGATCTCAATAGCACAAAAATGTGAGCCGTGGAAAGGGTAAACCAGGCTCTGAATAGGGATGGCTGATTTGCCTATTCAAAACGTCAGGCAACTAACACAGTGACCCCTCTCCACCATCCCAGAAGGCGCCTACTCCTCCGCCGTTTCTGCCTTTGGGTCAAATTTTCTCCACTTTCAATCACATAATCTTTCTAGCACTCCCAGCGGCCGTCATAGGCGACATATCCAGGGCTCGTCAAAAACGCTCACACACCTCAGAAACCGATAAAGTTGCAGTGAGGCCTGACATTGCGAAGGAAGTATTATGTAGGATGGTTATTTGCAGGTCTCTGTAAACCAAACGTTCGAGGCAACCTAACAAGGAATTTGAAGCTATACAAAGCTGTACTCCACGATGACTGCAGTGTCACGGGATAAGCTGTTTGAAATTCGGACCAGTCCGAAAACACTGTGACCACGCGAAGTATAAACATCGAATATTGTTTAAACTTCGACAAAAAACATGCCCTGTATCTCAGTCCTTAACTATCCGTCTAGTTACACATGTCAGACAGGACCTGATACCACATTAGCGAAAAAGTGGCCGCAAGATGGCCGTGGATAGAGGGAACGAAATGTTTTATACTGTCTCACACATCTTCGAAAGGCGCGTTCGGACAACCAGTGAGATAAATGAAGTATGGGACTCCGACAAGCAAACAACCCAGTCTCTAGATGCAGTGATTGCCAAATTAACTCTGTTTTGTACACTTTTATGGCGGATTTACTCCTTAGTTAGTGGACGTCGGGGAGTATTGATTAAGCAGGAAATGTCTCAATTTCCCCAACGTTGCCACCTAGCAAACCTAAGGCCTGTTTAATGGAGTAACAATCCGGAAATCGATCTGGTCAAAGTAGTAAATGAGTGAAATTTCATGCCTTAAGTACTTCGATCGGGGTATTGCTATGCAATGGCGACACATTTTGTTTTTTTTTTCCAGTAATATTTGATGCTAACTACCATAAACAGGCCCAAGACTACTTCCCTTAATCCACGTCGTTTCTTGCAAGTTGGGTAGTCTTCCATTCTTCTGTACTACTACGTAGACCATTTCTGCAACACATAACCTTAATACCGTCACGCTTTCTTGCTTGCAAATGCAATTAATCCACCCACATTGTGCAGCCGTATTCTGTATGACGTGAAGTCGATCATGACATATCTCCCTTCCACCCTTCGTTTTCCTCGTTAGAAGCAGGTAATGGAATTTTCTGCGTTGCATAACCTAGGCATGGTTCGCGTTTGATTCATGCTGTGTGGGGATACTCACTAAGTCACACGCACGATCAGTCTGTGGAGCGCATTTCCTGGAAATGTGCAAAGTGGCAGACAGTTAGTTACCTTGATTTTTACATGACCCCTTACCCGATGTACGATAGTGAGGAGAAGTATTTATTTTTGGTGAGAAATGTACGCTTTTAGCGTATTGGAAGAAATAAAGACCAAAGTAGTGAACAATCCAGTTGGTCATTGATAAGAAGTTTGCAAAATGATGCACGACAAAACGATGCGCCAATGATAAGTCAGAGCCAATCCTCCAAGCTTACAATACTAGGCCTAAACACCTGCCGTCTGTGCAAACACTAAAGCAAAAAGTGGTCCGATGTGGTTATGTAGCCATTCCTAGTCTGCCGGTAGGCAAGAGCACTGAACTCGTAGAAATGGTGGCGAAACGCGTACCCAAACCACGTCAGTCGTCTTGTTTGGATGAGCTTTAATGTTCCCGGAAGGTCATTGCAGTCAGTACTGAGTGTCTCATTTCAGGCGAAGTCCACGTATTTCAGTCAAGGAAACCTCTAAAGGTAAAGGTGGCTTAAGTCTTGCCGTTTTTATTCGTCTTCTACAGACATAGGTCAATGTTCATATCCATGTAGAAGAAATGACCGGACAGATGCACAGCGCGGGTGGGTAGTGAACGATTAAGATATCTCAACTATCCTCGATCACACTTGGGGACATTTTTTGTAAACGCCATCAATGCTGGCGCCACCGTCTTCCTCAGACAACGCCTTAGACGATGCCGCAGCCCCAGATTTTAAACTGTTAAATTCTCCAGGCTGACACCTATCAATGGTGCAGGTACCTTCTTTAGCACAGTCGGTGTCAGAGAATACCGTGGTTTATTCAGATCTGATAAAAAACCAACTGAGCAGTGGTCTTGCCACTCTGAAGCGCTCTCTTCTGCAGCCTCCCTGCTCCTGTAGGTACCCCATGGATTATTTGTTCCTCCTTGCTATGCCACGACGTTTTGTGAACCAGGTAAACGGCTTGACCAGAAAAACGCACACACCATAGCTCGGCTGTCGTTGCCGAAGATGTCCACTGTGTGCTCCACAGCAAGGTGAAACAGCGGCGGTGACTTGCGCGTGAATTATTTTATAGCGATAGTCGATTTGCTCTTTATCAATCTCACTCTCTCATTCTCCCTCACCTGGACCTGATGTCAAGACATGGTAAAAAATACGGGAGGCTAGGGAGGGCGCAGGTGGATGGCACGGTCGAGCCCGCGTCTTGGCGTTCCAATCTACTTCCCTAGTCCACACAGAAAATGACCAGTATTTTAAGTAACAAAAAGAAATGGGCTAACGCGGCAGGGGACGCACCTAGGCGTGCCGTCCCACCTGTTTCGGAATACGCGGGGTGGAAGTGACATAAGGCCACATTAAGAATGAGCCTTTGCAGCCTGACTCTCACACCACAAGTCGGTCGCTCCACACAAACACACAACACTGGACCATCTGCGAGGTCCAAGTTATGCCGACAGGCGGCCAAATTCCAAGCCAAAGCTTTTAGGGCACCGTGATAGCTTCAAACGCCCCAAGTTATTTATAGTGAGGAAAATGCGCTGGGTCGACACCCTCACTCTGACTTCCGATTCCCGGACCCCAGTCACTGGCCGGGCCGGTTAGCTGACAGGTGCGGGGAATGGGCGCGGAAGTTGACATAAATACTGAACTTGACTGCGCGCGCCAAACGCACGACCCAGCTCCGTTCAGAATGGGCCGTGGCAGAATGGCTCTCAGCCCATCAGTCCGTTACTAGACAGATACACAAATAAAACTGGGCAGACTGCGTGAACTCAGTTGAGGCGTCAGTCAGCAGCCTTCCAAGCCACGGCGCTTGACGTACCGTGATAGTCTCGAACTCGAATCACACGTGCAGCAAAGATGCCGCAGGGAGATGGGGCCGAGACGCACACTTTCCACTTGCGGGGGAGGTGGCAGTTGGATGCTTGTGGAGAGTGATGGTGTTGTTTGATATGAGTGGGGGAAGGTGTGATGGTGTCGTGTAGCCGGCGGTTGTCTACTACAGGTTTTCTTGGATGCGCACGTGGCCCAATAGGCCCATGAGATGGCTCGATGTGCGGGTGCAGTGAGGGCAGTTGAGATGGGTGCGGTGAGTGCATGTTGGTGCTCCGGGCACTGGTTCGCCAGTCTCTATGCGATGGATTCACAAGTGACCGACCAGGCCGATGTGTGGGTGAAGGTGCGATCGCAATAAAGAGGGTTATGAAACAAGTCCACATCGCTCGTGGTGGTGGTGGTGGTGAGGTTAATGTTTGCCAGTGTTTCAGGATTGGGCGCAGTGGTGGTGGGTGTAGGGGCCGTCGCAGCGCATGTTGAAGCGATGAATGAGGATGGCAGTAGGGGTTTAGGAGTGCGGAAACTGTTGATTGTCGACGTGGGAAGCGAGGCAGATGTGGACGGGGGGAGATCGGGTGGTGTCATTCATCCGAAGATGTCCAAGAAGACCGATCGATGACCAGAACGTCCGCTGATATCGTGAGCAGGTCAAGGGCAGTTAAGCGTTAGCGTTGCGAGGCGAGGGCAGTTGCGATTTACGAGCTTCGCTTTTGGCTTTGGCGACGGTGATGTGGTTGGCTTCGTAGATCGCTGCGCCTGTCCTCACTGCTCTCCGCCGGGTTAGTCGATTCCAGGACGAGGAGTTCCCAGTTGGCCGGGTTGATTTGCCGGCGCCTCAGGGGAGTCTTTAGGATATACTTGTAGCGCCGGACTGGCCTCCTTGTTGGTGGGAGCCCGTGGCCACATCTCCATAGAAGAGTCGTTTGCGTAACCGTTCGTCGGCCATGCTCACAAGATGGCCGCTCCAGCGCAGTTCCAGATGTCTCAGCATGGCGTATGTAATAAGGATTCCCGTCCGTTCCGGTACAGCCGTGTGCGGGATCCGGTCCGGGGAAGTGGGAGGGAAAAAGTATTGTTTCCTGTTTGATTGTTTCGACCGTCTGTTTAGCGTCTGCGAACCACGGTCGGCGCGCTGAGGACTTGATCCAAGCATCTGTTTAGGACCCATTTTGTAGCCCCTCCCCCCTCGCGCGGGTAAGCAATGATCTCCCTAAGTTGGGCTGTTCGGTCATCCCAGACGGCTGCCGAACTTCACAATTGGCCACGAATTTTATGTTTAGTGGCAGAAAGACCCGAGTTGGCCTGGGCCACCTACGTGATCACTGTCGCTATCGCCGTGGGTCTTTTGAGCGGGGGGAAGGTAGGGAGACGGGAAGCAGAGTTTCCCCTCCCTCTCTAAGTTACCTGATTGCTGATATATAAACGGTAAGCAAACACATTCCACAGAACGATATTTAGCTTGCAACAAGGACAAACAAGGTGAAAGGGTGAACGTCAGATTCTGGCTTGGCAGAAGGCACATAACATGCTTTAGCCTCCACCTCAGTGAGACGGCTTTGGCGAGGCCGTAAACACCCTGCCGTCACCTGAGCCATCGAGGTGTAGGCGTTCATCCCAGGAAGGATAGAATTCACTCAGTCGACTGCGGCCTTAGTTACCCACCCAGTCCTTCCAAAGATAGAAAACGTGGCCCGACTGCAGACAAAGCGCGGCATGTTAAAAAGGCTCTGGCAAACGAACTGCGTGCACGCACCAAAACTTAATGTACATGGGCGCTTTGGTCATCTTGACAAAGGCCTGTCCGTTAATCAGGCTGCTAGCCCTGCACTGTTTCAGCGTGGATCGGTGGAGGGTGGGAGAGGCCGTGCACTTCGCTGTCTGCTCCTGGCGTGGAGATGCGTTCGCTGGCCTACCGGAACGGGGACAGACAAAAGCACACACGTGACAGCGGAGTTAAGTGTAGTGAACCGTGGACCAGAAACAACACAATTATTGGGGTTTAGTTGATCATAAGTGAAACGTTCGTCTGTAGGTCATCCGGACGGTGGAAGTAAAATGCAAAAAATGCGATGTGTTGCGGAATCAACAATTCGCCCACTTTTATAGGCATCATGCTACCTGTGTGGTCAGTCTAAGGTCACCCCTAGCCAAATTAGGTGAAGGCCTCGTTGAGGTAGCCGGGCAGGACATGGGTATAACATGGAGTGATTCCTTTCTTTTTAAATTACACACGTTTGCTTACTTCAAGACTGTTTACTTGAGTAGCAATTTGTTGTTGTCGTTGTTGTTGCTGTAACAGTTGGCTATAGGACGGCTCGAAAACAGGAATAAAATAGTTAACCTTGATGACAGTTTCACTCGAAACGTTTTCATAGAGAAAAAGGTCCCAGTTATTTTGCTGCTCTAATATCAAGCCAGGCCAGTGCCATCAGATAATTTTCCCTTCGATTCGGACAAAGCGCCATGGTTTGCGAGTATTCGAAAAACCACGTCTAGTAACCTTTGCTTTCACATAGGGTATAGCTTCTTTGTTGGGGAGGGCCACATAAATTACCCTTCCTAATAGGAACCACGACAAGAAATCGTTCGTCAGTCAAGCAATGAGGTATGCCTAGAGAGGGAGATTTGGCCGGAGGGCACTACTGGATATGCCATGTTCTACGGCGAGCCACCAAACGTTCTTTTTAGGTTGCTCCCTACTTTTTCCAAATCACGATTAGCACGCAAATAGTGAGGTGAAATAAATAATTTGCCGTGCCACAGTAATTCGTGAACGGTGCACGTTTTCAAGCATTTTTGAGAAACATTCGGTAATAACTTACGATCGATTAGATTCCTCCCAAAAGTCTGGAAACGACCTCACAGAGCGCCATAGGTCACGCGGTAAGTTATACGCAGTACGTAGGCGGCGTCTACAGCCTCGCACGGGATATCTAGCAACGAGCAAGCCGAACGGCTGACCAACATAGTCACCGCCGCCACCACCGCCGCCGCTGAGAACAACGCCTCCGTGGAGAACCGATTATGTCAGCTGAGGGACACGATCCAGTCAGCCGACCCGACTTTCCTCGGTCACGCTCGTCGCCCGCACCAGGACTGGTTCGTTGACAACGACGCCGCCATCAGCAACCTGCTAACCGAGAAGAACCTCCTGCACAAAGCCTACGTGGACCGCCCCACCGACGACAACAAAGCAGCCTTCTACCGTAGCGGCCGCCCTGTGAAACAGCGGCTGCGGGAGATGCAGGACGCTCGGACCGCTCACAAGGCCGAGGAGATCCAAGGTTACGCAGATGTCACCGAATGGGAGAATTTCTTCTCCGCGATCAATGCTGTCTACGGTCCGCCAGCCAAAGCAACTGCTCCCCTTTTCGGAGCCGACGGAAGTACCCTATTCACCGAGAAGACACAAATTCTGCAGCGGTGGGCTGAGCACTTCAGAGGCGTCTTCAACCGCCCCTCCACCATCTCCGACGCCGCTATTGTCCGTCTGCCGCAAGTGGTGACTGACGTTGACCTCGACCTTCCGCCCTCTCTCCACGAAACCATCAGGGTCGCGTAGCAGCTCTCCAGCGGGAAAGCGCCCGGTACAGACGAGATCCCTGCTGAGATCTTCAAACGCGGTGGCCCACGCCAACCCATGGACCATCTGACGGCGATCTTCCAGGAGATGTGGCGTCAGGGAGAAGTCCCACAGGATTTCAAGGACGCCACAATCGTGCATCTCTATAACCGGAGAAGGAACCACCAAATCTGTGACAACCACCGAGACATTTCCCTGCTGAACATCGCCGGGAATATATTCGTTCGAATTCTTCTCAACCGCCTGAGCAAGCATCTAAAACAGGATCTCCTGCCGGAAAGCCAGTGCGGATTCCATCGCCGCCTGGGAACCATCGACATGATCGTCGTCGCTCGCCAACTATAGGACAAATGTCAGGAGATGCGGGTCCACCTCTACTCTACCTTCGTGGACCTGAGGAAACTCTCCGACACGGTGAATGATGAAGGACTGCAGGAAATCATGCCGAAATACGGCTGTCCCCAGTGATTCACTTAGATGGTGCATTAGCTCCACGATGGTATGACGGCGTGGGCCACGGACAATGGAGTCGTGCTAGAGGCATTCGCAGTGACTAACGGAGTGAAGCAGGGCTGCGTCTTCGAACCTACCTCTTTAGTCTCACGTTCTTTGTCCTGCTGATGGACGCATATGTGACAAACCCCTCGGGATCCGCGTCGCCTACAGGACGGACGGCCAACTCTTCAATCAGCGACGGATGTACTTCCAGTCGCGTGTATCCACAGCAGCCGTCCATGAACTTTTCGCAGATGACTGCGCTCTCAACGCCACCTCGGAAGGGGACATGCGAAGGAGCATGGACCTCTTCGCCGCCGCCGCCGCCTGCGAGAAATTCGGCCTGATAATCAACACGGAGAAGACGGTGGTCATGCACCAACCGTCACCCGACGCTGCCTACGTCGCACCCAACATCAACGTGAATGGCACCCAACTGCAAGTGGTGGACAACTTCACCTACCTGGGCATCACCCTCACTCGCCACACCAAAATCGACGATGAAGTGGCCCGTCGGATTTCCAAAGCCAGCCAAGCATTGGGCCGTCTGCGAAACACAGCTTGGAATCGACGCGATCTCCACATCAGCACCAAACTGAACATGTACAAAGCGGTCATCTTGCCGACGTTGCTGCGGAGACTTGGACTGTGTACAAGAAGCAGGTACGAAGAATCAATCACTTCCACCTCAGCTGTCTCCTACAGATGCTGAAGCTGAGGTGGCAGGACCGGATCTCGCACACGGATGTACTTGGACGGACGGGAATCCTTATTACATACGCCATGCTGAGACATCTGGAACTGCGCTGGAGCGGCCATCTTGTGAGCATGGCCGACGAACGGTTACGCAAACGACTCTTCTATGGAGATGTGGCCACGGGCTCCCACCAACAAGGAGGCCAGTCCGGCGCTACAAGTATATCCTAAAGACTCCCCTGAGGCGCCGGCAAATCAACCCGGCCAACTGGGAACTCCTCGTCCTGGAATCGACTAACCCGGCGGAGAGCAGTGAGGACAGGCGCAGCGATCTACGAAGCCAACCACATCACCGTCGCCAAAGCCAAAAGCGAAGCTCGTAAATCGCAACTGCCCTCGCCTCGCAACGCTAACGCTTAACTGCCCTTGACCTGCTCACGATATCAGCGGACGTTCTGGTCATCGATCGGTCTTCTTGGACATCTTCGGATGAATGACACCACCCGATCTCCCCCCGTCCACATCTGCCTCGCTTCCCACGTCGACAATCAACAGTTTCCGCACTCCTAAACCCCTACTGTCATCCTCATTCATCGCTTCAACATGCGCTGCGACGGCCCCTGCACCGCGAGTGATTAAAATACGCGATTTGCGGACGTTTCAGAGTACGGAATTGCGATTGATCGAACATTTTCATGCGAGCCGCGGTGGCTTCTGGGACTATTCTTTAGTTTAGATTTTGTAAAATTATGTTTGAGTGATACTTCCAATCACTGAGAGACCCCGAAGATGTCATTAAGGAAGTCAATCAATTGAGAAAGTTTGTCAAATAAGGAGTTATTATATAATTACTCGCTTTGAAAATTTCACGTACCTCACCACATTTTAGTGACTTATTGAGTAAAGTTAGCTAGCTAGCCGGCTGACTGACGCCTCAACCCAGTCCACGCAGTCTGCCCAGTTTTGCTTGTGCATGTGTGGATTGGCGGACTGATGGGCTGAGAGCCAGACTGTCACGGCCCCTTCTCAAGCGATCTGTGACCCTCTCATGCATGTGAGAACATTGTTTATGTTTGTTCGTGCGCTCTGTGTTTAGTGTTTCACATTCGACGTCTGCGTTTTTACCCAACCTTAAAGGTTGATGGCCCAGGCTAAATGCAGTGCCACCTGTCACCCTTATACGAGAAAGCGACCGAAAGCCTTTGCTATGCTTGTATCATCAAACTATGGTCCTCACTGACTGGGATGCGCTGGCAGTTCCCTGACGGTAGATGCTCGTGCGCTCCGCTCTGTATATAGGTCGTGGGCATGGCTACCCTGTCATCCTTATCTTTCAGACCCCTTTTGGTGTGTTGCGGCTGTTGTTGTTGTTGGTGAAAAATCCTGGTCGGATGTATGTTTTTAACCAGGGGGTGTGGTGGCACGCCTAGGTGCGGCTTCGGCCGTGCCAGCCGTATGCGCCCTCCCCGCCTCCGGTTTTCTTGACTTTGTCTTGGCACCGGGTCCAGGCGGGGATAGGGGGAAGAGAGAGTGCGGTAGCTGCTGCGAAAGTCTTCTATCACTATAAACTAATTCAGACGCAAGTCATCGTGCCTGCGGCATCTTGTTGTATAGCACACGGTAGATATCGTCGGAATCGACGGTCGAACTGCTATGTAGACGTCCGTCAGTGTCACTGAGACGTGTATTGGCATGACCATTGCGCCAAAAAGTAGTGGCAAACTGACGTTGTGGAGCGATTGCGTTGTTAGCGGTTGTTGTAGTTCGCTGGTAATCATGCATAGTATCGGATCGTTCCGGCAGTAGTCAAACGAGGTCTCTGATCAACCCAATAATTTAACTATTCCGTGCTTTTATATACCTGCCATCGACATCCCGATTGACAGACAGACTTCTTCTCCACCGGATAGTGTGATGATTTGGACGGACTAGCTGTAACATGGAAGAAAAAAGGCATCAACAATCGGCTAGATCGCAGTTGGTAGCCAGGCCCCGTATTACAGGTGGGTGCGGGGTTTGTTTTCTGGGGCTATTTTGTTGGGTTCCGTAATCACATCTGACCCATTAGCTTCCGTTTAACGTTTGAGTTTAAGGTTGGAGTACCGGTTAATGGTTTCCAATTTTCGGGTTAGAGTTATAACTTTGGGCTTAGGTTTTCTGTTTACGGTTAGGGTTTGTGCGTACGATTAGGTTTCAGTAATACGGTTAGATTTTCAATTACGGCTATGTTTAAGGGCTATGGTTCCGTTTATGATTTCGGTTAGGGTTAGGGTTAGTGTTGTCGGTAAGGTTAACGGTTAACGTTTATGGTTGAGGTTAAGGTTAGGGTAAGGGTTAAGGTTAGGATTACGGTCAAGTTCGCCTTTAGCTTCCCCATTTCTGGCTACCAACTGCGGTCTAGCCCATCAATCGTCTAGCCTGGATGTGACCTCCTGCAGCCCCAGTTAGTCATTGAAAATGTGGTGTACCCACTCCTTCCTCATGTAGAGCGCAGAGGTACTTTATGTTACCTTGGATGATCCCATCAAAGAACTGAGATTTCCCCTTATTATCAAACGTTCTATTTCAGATTACCCGTATTTTTGAAAGAGCAAATGTTTGGAATGAGCACGGGAATGTTGGGGCGTTGACCGTTTGCCTTAGGGGACAACCTTGTCCCGTTGTGCCTTGGGGCTCAATATCGAGCCTGCCAGCAGCCGCATAACGGCTAGTACTATAGGCAGAATAACATTACCGGCAAATACAGGGCGCTGGACTACTAACCAGCGGGTCGTGGGATCGAGCCTCACGGGTTGAAAAGCCTGGGGAGGGTATGGCTAGCTGATGACGGCCAATGAGTTAGAAGTGACCAGTCCAGCCTGCCTTATCTTTGTCGATAGTGCTATTCTGCTAGACTACTAGCTGGTGACATTTGATATTGAGTCCCAGAGCACAACAGGACGAGTGTTTTCTTCTACGCGATGGTTGAAGGCTACTCTACCATTATTTATATATGTATATATACTCCAAATTTTATATATGCATATATTGGGGCTAACAAAAATCCGTGTCTTTCTAAATCAATACGAGGAAAATTGTTTACCAAGAAACACTTTCTTTTTGGTTCGTTATATATTCGTCATCGTTTTCAGACACTGTTTCCGACATTGAAACTAGTTTTTTAAATATCCACTTTAGAAAATGAGGTTTTTCCTGGTGCAAAAATTCCGAGAGCCCAGTTTTGACATTATGAGTATTTCTAAAATCTTCTCCGCCCAGCACGTGCCGCAGTAATTTGGATAAATGATAATCGGCCAGTGTAAAATCAGGTGAATAGGGCAGGTAGGACAGAGTTCCCACCTTAAATCTAGGATCTTGTTCTGGTTTGTCGGGCAAATCGCGACCCCACGTAACCATGCGGCAGAACGACACCTTTTCTAATGATTAACACCGGATGTTTATCGTCAAGGACTTGGTCAAAACGTCCTTGTTGTTGACAGTGTAGGTTAGCTGTTACGATCTGTCCCTGTTTCAGCAGCTCAAAATAACGCATATCCATCATACTTCATCAAACTAATAGCAAGATTATATAGTGACATGAGGTTGATTTCGGCATAAGAACTGATGCCTTACCTGCGGAAAGTCATTAGCATTCGCGATTATTGGTAACGTTAAGAGTTAATTTCTCATCTCCAGTGGCAATTCGATGAGGAAATGGATCACTATGTCGGCCGATTAGCAAAAAGTTGCAGATTGTTTTCTATCAAAAGTTGGCATGGGATAAAAGCTCCCCGCCTACCGATCTTCGCTTTCTGCTAAAGATGGTTCTGAACAGTAGACCACGGCAATTTTTTTTATAATTTCTCGATGGTCTGCCGAGGACCTGCCCAAACGGCTGCACGCAAATGTTAGAGCTACGATGAAGTCATTCTCCGTGTGCACATCACACGTTTTTTAGGTTGGATCGTTAGTTCAGTGCATTTACAGGTGTTTCAGGTCATACAGCGAGGCAAGCAAGCAAGTCTCGGAAAAAAGCACGCCGCCCACTCTAAATCCACGTCGAGAGTCCTCAGTTCACTATCTCCGCGGAAATACCATTGCACTTTTATGCTCCATTAGGCGGTAGCACCTGACAAACGGCTCTGCGTTGTGTGAAACTGGTTAGTAGTCGTGCACGATGGTCAAGGCACAGTAATTGTGTAGTTAATGAGTGTCTAAGCGTTTTTCTTATCTGAAGGAGTTGGTCCAACAACTGATGGTGGACAGTCACCTCCCGAAACTGCCATATACAGCAGGTTACCAAATTCACGAAATGCGCATAAATTAACGAGAAATAATCAAATTATTTTGGGCCAACTGTGAAAAATTTGACGACCTCGGTGGGATCCGAACTCACGACAGCAGGGAGAGGATTTGAGTACAGCCAAGCTGAAAGCAGTTAGAACGCATCCACCAAGCTAATAATGAACGACCCCTGGTAGTTTAAAGATGTAAGTACTATTTCGTTGATTAGAAAGAACACTTTTCTTAAGAGAAACGGAGATGTCGGAACCGCAAACATTCCTGTCACATGAGTAGACCCAAGTTTTAGAAGTAGAAAGGCTGACTAAGCAAGACGACATAAGCACAGTTACGTTTAAAGTTATTTTTATATAAGCGTTTACAGTGGATGTCCTCCAAGAATTAGGGTTATGAGGTCTGGCGCCAAATCAAGTGCGTAATGTCCGCTGACGTAATTCCTGGTCTTGCTGGTCAACATCGATGTATTTATTCCGTTTCCGTATTGTTAGAAATGAGGTTGATTTCAAGGGTATGGTTTATGGCCGGGGTTACTCACACCAGTGATCATTTGTGTTAAGCAAGAGAGCTGAACATCCAAGAACTTTGTGGTATCACAAATTCTGACCCTCCGTATTGTCGCCAATTAAAAGGGGACACTATTTTTTCACCATATAATAACAATAGTAAAGGAATTTAATGCTACTTTGTAGGTGTTGTCGAAAAGACAGTGGATCGTCTTATCTTTACCCCGATGACTACATTCAAGCATATCGACCACCCTCACGCAACAGCCACTGCGAGGTCTCTTTATTTCCCTCTTGCACGTAAAAATAAATATCCCCCGTTACTTTCTTTAAACACAATAGCTTCCTGGAATAAGTAAAATCGGCCATAAACTATAACCTTGCCTAGTTGATTGATGCTGCTGCTAGAGACGTCACGGGAATAAATGTTCCTATGACATTGCATGTCGACAAACCTGTCGGTGGCTATTAAATCTGGATGAAATTGGCAGATGTAATCCTAAGCACACAATTCTGTGTATACTAAGAAAACTGTCCTTCCGTCAAATGTACGTGCAGTCTCTGTTGACTATGGAGTTCACTGGGTTTCAGTGTCCATGCAATGTTAGTGAAAACATTACGATCATCAGCGCTGTCAACCGTTTGCCGATAGGGATAGGTTCTGTGCTATGTATCTATCAAAACCTTCAAAATGAGATACTTTTGGCAGGCATTTACCGAAGAAGTGGGTACTTAGGAGTTCTTTTTCATGTAGATTTTCGGTTGGGTCACATTTGAAGACTTGAAACTTAATTGCCGAAAAGTGAATGCCCACGTGAGTTAACGATGACCTTTCCATAATAAGTAGCCTATTTAAAAGTGCTTTTGTACAGTATTCCGTTGACGGATGTCCACACACTACCTTGGTAAGATGTGGTTATGTAGCCGCACCTGATGGGCATAATACTGTTGGAGTTAGAGCCAGGACAACTATTTCTCAACCACTCAAAGTTCAGCCAGCGGCTTTTATTTTGCATATAATTACCTGACCTCGTCGCCTGGGCGTTCCTCGGCCTCACTTGCAAAAAGTCCTATTACCACCGCTCCCGTATTACAGGCGGATGGGGTTGGTTTACCTCAGGTGCGGCTGCACAACCATATCTGACCCCTACCTTTCTGCACGGTTGATCCACTAAAATTCCACACTACCTTGCGGCCTGGGACTAAGCGCACACCAACACCTCAGATTTGAAATAAAGGCCTTCACGGAAATGAATTCTCGGAAAATACAATCGCTCCTCAAGAGTGTCTGTCCGCAAGTGTTAGGAAGTATCCAAAACCATCGAGGTGTTCGCCTACTGGATAAGTAGAAACAAGTGGAAACCACGCCCTCCAGCAGAACCCCAAACCGAAACTTGAGACAGTGTTCGCCCCCCCCCCACTGTCGGCTTACGTAAAATGATTATAACTAAGAAGCAGTGACTCACCCAAGGCCACGGCGCTCTCCCTCATAGGTCTAAGCTGTAATGCCTGTAAGGCCCTAACATTCCGCCGAGTCTTTTGGAGACATCACTATTACCACACTTGCGAGCCTTGGCGCTGATCTTGGCTGGGTGCAAAGACTAGTGACAAAATCGCAACGCGAAAAACTCGCGGTGAGCATGAGTACATGGTTAAAGGTAGACAACGAAGTAAACACGTCTGGAATCCACTTGAATGTCAAATGGGGCTCTGTAACACCTCCAAACCGGTTCAACTTTCTTTCATATCAGAAACCTCTACATAACTAAATAGGTTGGCCTAAAGCAAAGGCTGGCGTCGCAGGGCGACTGCCTCACCAATTTCGGCAAGTTTCCGTGATTGCTTGCTTCCTGGGCAACCAGTTTCTGATGGCCCGTATTTGGCCAATCCTCTGCACAGCAGAACATCTCAAGTAATTCACACTCATCGTATCCCAGCTCGCAGCCCTACTTTCCAAGGGGCGATTCTGCGTGTTGAAGCATATATCCGGTGGATAATCATGATGGTCAGGCCCGAGGCCCCAGAAGACACGGTTACTCGAGATTCGACCTGTTTGCGGTCTTAGTGTAAGCGACAAAAGTGACCCAACGCTGTCCTTGGCTGCTAACAGTTACAGTCCAACTTTTAAAGTAACAGGGCATCCTCGTAACACAGGCAGCCTTTCGCTAAATTCCAGGATGGGGAGCCTGTTCTCGTGTGCTAACACTTAAACCCTAACCATATCACCAACCACAACCCTAATCTCCCTGGGATGTAGCACAAGACCACCGCATTCCGGGGGCAGAGTTCATACTTCCGTGTCCTACCGTCCAGTCCGCCAGACACTTAGAAACGGCCTAACACGGCAGGTAGAACGTGCGAGGGTTAGCAACCCGCCTAGTACGGTTTAAGCAAAACGTATTTGAGACAGGTTTACACAAATCCAGTCAAAAGACCTTTAATACTCGGTGGTACATGGCTTGAGTTGTAACCTAAGGAAGACACGCAGACGGCCAGTCCATGGTCGTCAGTCTGAGCTGTCGGAGGCAGCCAAGAGTGCGTGTGAGCTCGTCACGCCCAAATGGAGTAACAATATAATATTACAAAAATAAAATCTCAGAAAACCATGAAGTAAAGTACACACAATCGCGCGCACAGGAGGGAAGGAGGGGGAGAACGGACTCAGACAGGTGCTTGGGACAAGCAAGTGGTTAGGGGAAGACGCGGATATATCGAGATTCTTGGGGGGCGATGGCGTGGCATCAGAACCACCAACAAGGAGCCTGGACAGTGGGGAGCATTACGTTGGTGGCCAGGGTAAGGCGGACCCGTTCTCGGTCACACTGGTCACAGTAACTGGCTCCCGCATCGGTATTGACTGGTTGCCCGAGGGTGTACGCTGGTGCAGACCACGGGGCGGCTCGACGCCATAGGCTCTTGGCAGAATCAATGGCGGTGAGGGCAGCGCGGGGTCTGGATCTTCAACATTCTGTAGGAGAACGTAGGCCTCCTCGTCGAAGGGAGACTTGCTGCCAGGAGGTAGAACAGTGGGACTACGCTTGCACCAGGCCTTGCCATTAGCAAGACGGCGCTTGAGTTTTTCGCGGAAATTGCTACTGCTGTGTTGATTGACCAACGGACTGGTAGTTCCACTTGTGGTGACCGACGATTGCTGCAGCAACTCTCTCAGTGTGATAGAAAGATCCTGCGGAGCGAAGGCACGAGGGAAAGGGAGTTAAATGAATACACAAAAGGTAAGGAATGACCACCCTCCCCCGAATAAAGGAAAGAAACGTTGGACATACAGCTAGCGTGAATTTTGGCAAAAAGCAGCCGTCGACACCTCTCATATACAGGGATTTACCGTTTTAAATCAGCAGAGGTGCAAAACGTGAATAATGAATATTGTAAATATGTAATGCGCTTTCAGTCGGCTTGGATTAGGATCAGAAAATCCGAGGTGCACTTACGAATTTTAAGGGTAGTGACAACAACAAGTCATCAGACTAAACACATAAGAGAAGTGGAATTATCACGCTAAAGCAGGAGGCTATGCAAGTGACGCACAGGTAAGGAGACTGGGGGAACGCTAGTAGAATGAGGGATGGGAATCAATGGGATGGAGGGATGATGAACCACTGGGACCAGGCGCGGGAAACCAATGAGGGCGAGCGGGGAGACTGGCGAGCTTTGTACCCTGTGTCAGAGTCGATATGACGATTGATATTGCTCGCGTTGGTGCCAAGTGCTTTGTGAAAAACTGCTGCAGACGCTAGACACGGGGAATAGTGTCCAACCCAAATGGCGAAAATGTGAAGGCGAAATACACATTCGGCCTTGTACTCAAGAAACCTTCAAAACACCACAGAAAACCTAAATCATACTGCCGCCCACACCGTTCACAGCCCAGCGTCCTTTCACGCGGTGTTAGCACGAACACAGAACCAAACTCCTAAAGGACATCGAGACAGCGTTATTAACTGCATCCCATGGGATTATTGCCTTGAGCATATGTTGGCCACACACATCAATGCCTTGAGGCTCATACTAACCATAAGCTGGCGGCCCCTCAGCACGACTTCCTGCACATAAATTGGAGTACTCACATATGCGACAATCGTTTGACTTGGGTGCCATTAAAATGGCCGCCGCGACCAAAGGCAGTCGCTAGATTTTCTTGAAGTATGACACAAACTAGCCCAGAAGTATCAATTACCATGCGGATCTCGAGACGCACCGTGACGGATCACGAGCACGCCCACTGGGCACCGAAGTCAATCCTGAAACAATAAGGATAACAACTGATCAATGCACGATCCTCGACACATGTGTACGATCAGTTTAGGGACGAAGTCGGACGTCTCACGGTGCGGCGCATGCCATGGATATTGACACGTTCGTACATAGGAAAAACACACTGTTGGCGAGTGTTCATCCGAGGAAGGCCGAAAAGTTATGGAAGGCAAGTACTCCAATGAACCATGGATTAATCAGCCTATCAACCTAGACGTCACGTACAAAATCCCCGCAACAATCGAATGGTACGGTGGCCAATCTAAATGGAATGAGGACAGAGAACTAATGTTGGTCAACCATTGATTTCTCGGCTCGTTTGAACAGTTAGCCATCTTGGACGTTCACTGTAGGCTCGACGGCGACCTTTATGACTGGTATAGAAACTTCAGCGAGTAAACTATTTTGTTCTTAAAAAGAAGTCATGGGATTTCAAGTATGTAGGGGCGAAGATGCACGCCGCCAAGCACAAATGAGAAAAGACGATCCTGGGAACGTTGGTTTATTGCTCTGATGTTTCAAAAGCAAACAAACTTTAACCATGAGGTTCCCATGACGTTTGAAGGGTGGCGGTCACGATAATGTGACATTGTCTTCAAAGTAATCCATACAGTCTCAGCGGAGGGGAGGGAGTGTCCATACGCTTCCTATCGTCCTGATCGGGCGGAGGACGGTATTTGGGTATTGACGCTTATTGTCCGCCACTGAATGACCCTTAGCTGGCGTCCAGGGTTGTCATACCCTCCAGTGCCCCTGCCCGACTCTGCGAGAGTAGTGGATGCTACACCAGTGTTGAACCCTGCGCCTGCGTCTAACATGGGTACGGGCGTCCGTGTATTTGTGTTTGGCTTGCATTCTCCTGTGTCCGTGATTAACTTCACAGAGGCTACACCGGAGCCAACGTTCGTCGTTCCGCCCCATGGGAAGGCGACCTTAGGTCTTACGATACGGAGTCGGACCGTTGCCCCAGTCTGTGGAGAATGACGATCCTCAGAGAGTAACGAATGAGATAACGCGCTGGAAACGCTGTCAGTGCGTGGGGCCCTTGGTGAACCTATACTTGCTCCGTCGTGGGACTTATGCCTGGTCTGCACTGCTTGTAGCATCCGAAGATACGCGCTTATTATAATGAAGCGCTGGCGATAGTGGAGTTCAGTCACTTAATCGTCCGTCTCCCTGCTCTCTTGTAAAAGTATCTGCCTATAGTGTAGAGGGTATCTGCTGTAGCAACTTGGGAGTTACCGAGCAGAAATGAACTACCTTTTCGAACGGATGCGGATGCGATATTTTGTAAATCGGCGCATGCCACGATACGAATCGAAAGCAAAAAGTGATTCCAACCGGGCGTCCAAATCAGCGACTCGACGAACTCTTTCTTGCGTTAAGAACATGTCCGAACTCGATAAAAGGTATTTGAGAAAAATCAAATAAAACTGGCGCACAATTAGACCATTATATTCAGCCCCCCCGTTTAGACACCCACGGATAGGACTGACTATTTTGGAAAGGAAGACACTGCCTACAAAATGGCATGCTGTGGATGCGACGCAGTATACCGTGGTCGAACTGTACAATCCGTCTTTGCCGCACACACCAACGTCAGTTGACACAGATTAAGGGGGGACCATCTATCTCAGGTAGCCATGCCTACGCCGGATGCTGAGAACGCTTTCTTTTGGGCCAAAACTCGCATTTATGGCATCTCACTGAGTTGAGGGCCAGCACTGCCGAATAGGCTGAAACTACTGCGATTACCGATGCAGCGCCATTCTTAACCTCCGGCAAATGACCCATTAACCGATGGCCAGGGGAGGCAAACTTAAAATGAAGGTTAGAGGCAAGAAACAGCACCCCGATATTCACAGGGTACACACTGGCACAGGGCAATTGTGCGGGTAGGTGTAAGGGGACTAGGGCGAGGCAAGACCCTGATGCGCTAGTGAACACTCGGGCTGTCTAACCAGCACTTACTCAGGTCACCGATTTGGACGCCGGCATAATAAATGCAAAGGACAGGAATATTGGAGTCATTCGAGTCGGAACAAGGTACGTCCCTCATAAACATCCAGCAAAAAGGCATGCCTAGCGGGACAAAAAGTTCATTAGAGTGGTAAAACTCAAAAAATGCCAAAATACGGGTTGTAAAAGAGCATGAACGTCCAAGGTGGCTCACCACTCCTATCGTTTAAATAGTTTTCAAGGGCTTTTGTCATTTACTCCAGATACATTATTGACTGTTCGACCTCAATTCACATGACTGGCTAGGGCAAGCAGACCAGAACGGCTATGCCAGAATGGTAGACTGGTGACAGACTGCTAATTCTGCGTTCTGGGTGACCTTCGGTCTCATAACCTCGGTGAACCAAAACGCGGCCCCAAAAATGCTGTAGAAGAGTGTTTTAACGAGACGCAGATGAGCCTCCAGGCGACAACTAAGATACCTGGAAAATATGGAGTAGAACAGATTGGGTGTTAAGTCCAAGGCTGTAAATGTAAGACAAAAATTCACTTGTTGTGGGTATTCGGGACCTAGGTTTTCAGTAAGCTGAGAGTGTCCAACCATCTTGCGAGGGCTTTCAACGCCTACGCATGTTGTCAATGGGCACACGCTGGGTGAGGGTGCTCTGAGCTTCGTTTATTGCAAACTTCAGTGTCTTACCCGTCTGCCCCGCTTGACGGCGAGCAAAATCGAGAAATGACGGCTAGAACCACAGAGTCTGCTGAGGCGCTCTCATGCTTCCCCACCCTCTCTCTCTCTATCCCTCTGGTTCACTTCCGTGCATACAAAATCTATCATGATGGGCAGTAATTCTATCCGACAGACCCACTAAGGCCAAATACGGCACAAAAGGGACGAGTAAGGGTTTCTTCCACAACCCAGGACACCTTTTGCCAGAACAATTCGGTGTCTCTTTTGGAAATTAGGAACACAGTCTATCCAATAGAAGCGAAGAGCCGAGTCCCAGGAAGTAGTCTTGAAGAAAGAGACACGATCGCCGGGACAAGAGCTTTATTAGCCCGTTTCTGCTCTTTTGTCTCTGATGATGGATTCGAGTAGGAATCCGAAACGTCAGGCTAATAAAGCTCTTGTCCCGGCGATCGTGTCTCCTTCTTCAACAGTCTATCCCCCGATATTCACGGAGGTAAGGGACCACTAGTACCCGTGAACAGCTGAAATTCACGAATATTTGAGAGCCCTCTATAAACGCTTATAACTATCTATTTTTAGTGTTCAAACACCAAATATACCTTAAACTAGCATCATGGAGCACTATAATATTGTTTTAAAGTCAACATACAGCACTACCTTTAGAATATATGTGGGTTTCCGGTACGCGTGAACACACCTACAACTGTTACTCTTACCAAGGCGAAAATAAATGAATTGGCGAATATTTTAGATATGTTCTATGAAAAAAGGAATCGGCGAATGGACGGGGTCAGGCGTAAATCGAAAGTTGCTCAGAGGGCAGATATAATAGTCTGCCAGCAGGGCGGTCGGGAAAACCTGTGGCAAAGGGTGAGGGAGGGAAGTCTGCCACTAAAGCTGGTGAACTGTGGACTCTGAACCTGTTCCAAAAGTCGCAAGTTTTGGCAAATTGGTGACCTGTGTTCGGATGCAATCACCAGTGGTACGGAAGCAACAGACTGCCTGAACATTAGATGAATTGCTCGAAGGGGAAGAATAAAACCAATCGACTACCATGTGAGTGGACGAATAGCTTTGGCCTAACTCCAACCGCAAAAGTGTGATCTGAAACCAACAACACTACCTCCCCCTGGTCCCACAACAACAACTGGACACGATACATAAACAGTGCCTTGAGGCAGAAAATCTGCCTTAGATTCGACTGATAAAGGGTGGGGGATTGAACCGAATTTTCGACTGATAAGTCAGCGCGGATGGTAAAAAAATTCGGCTTAAAACTAATTTAACGATGCGGGAAGAAGACGGAGGCTGGGGTAGGTTATGGTCGTAATTGGCTGCAATTGCACTTTGAAATGCGCGCAAACCCTGTAGGCATGACGCCAATTCCCAGACTTACCACTTACGCCTCACCAGCGGCGGTCCCAGCGCACGAAAAAGCGGCGAAAAAACGAAACAGACTAAAAGACAAAACACCCGAGGAGAGTTTGCGGGGGTCGAGTAGAGGCGGGCGGGGGGGGGGTGGGGCAATTTGCAAAAGTATCAGTGGGAGACGAATGAGAGACAGGAATTCCGCACTTTGGAGGTAGAGGAGTCAAATGGCACGAAGGCAAGTCGGAACAGTTAAAATAGGGACTGAAAAAGGAGTGCAAGACTGCTGGGCGTAACTTCGCGGTGTCCCGAGAACTTGAGTACTGGGGGTCAGCCGCGGGGGAAGAAGGTTCAAAAAATGCACTCCTGGAGAGGTAAGGGCATGGGGGGTGTGGGGAGGGGGTCAACAGTCCAGTGCCAAGTTCTTGCAGTGACGTTGCGAGATGAACCGTCTCAGATAGAAACGACTAGCTTTGGCCGCTGAGGACGCGAATGGTGAGGATGAGCGCTGAAAGGTGACACAGATATACGCCGTGGAAGTGAAGGTTTTGTTTCAACTCCACCACATACAGAAGTGGAATGTGCTCATTGGTGGGTTGGCAAACGATCGTTTTTGGCAAATATTTACCAGATCAATACAGTTACGTGAATAGCTGAATTTGCTGTGCATTACAACGCTCTCTTCGCTGAGGATTAAGACTGATAACTGGAGAGAAATCCGTTCGGAATTAATGGGATAATGGATTAGGGTCACGAGATACGAAGAATGATTAATTTATGGGGAGGATGCTACGGACGGAATGGCTTGCATAAGGTGAGGAAGCTAGTCAGACCGCTTCACGGTTGCGGATCAACAGAGACAGAATATGACGGAGTGAGAAATCCCGCCGAGGGTGGCATACACCAAATTATCTTCAGGATTCCGAGGTTGAGGTATGGCTCCGAGTAACTACGACAAGTAAGCTCGAATAAATCATTTTAGCTCACCTCACCAGCGTCGGTAACACTTCGCAAAGACAAAATAATCAGAGCGACAGGAGTGGATCGGACGAGTTAGGTAACCGAAAAACAAGGCAGTAGGTCTGACTGGGCCAATGACTATACAAGTTTTGGCAATGAAAGCAATGTGAACTGTTGGTCAGTCAACATACAATGGTGGTGCATTTTCGGATCTTACATTCAAATTCCGGCAAAGGACTCTTGTGAGGCCGGAAACGCGGAGAGAGAAGCCAGAGAAACGGCGGCAACATACGCAAAGCTCGAGGTAGGAGGGCTACTCTTCTGCATATGAAGTGTAACTAGTAAGTCGGGAGTGTGCCGCTTTTACCTATTCCCAATATTCCACAATTAAGTGTTGACTTTCAATAACCAAAAAGGCCCACACTCAGACCACTGACAGCAGAACGCGAGCTCAGCTCGCTACGATAAGAACATTTTTACAACGCAGAGTAGAAAGAGGGGGTGGTGACTCGGTGTTGGTGAGGATGTAGCCGAACGCCCACTTGAAGAGCAAAGTGCTGCCAAAGACATTACACCCCCCTCCGCCGCCATCCGTCATGAATTTTTGATGCGCAGTTGGTGCAGGGCCGAGCACAAAAGAGCGCGAGAACAGACTCCCCACAACGTAATTGCTATTAGATGAGCACGCACACATTTTAGGGAAGGAGGGAGAGAGAGAGAGCACGAAGCTTAAAAAAGAACTTGTGCGTGACTATCGTGGGCAACAGACTTGCGCCCGAAACCAAAATGTGGAATGAAAAATCCGTCTCTCTACACCTTCCACATAGGGTAAAAAGGCCTGGAGGCATTTCACGAAAGCGTAGTATTAGAAAGGCCCTAATGACTTTTTCGGAAAAATGGACGTTTAGAAGGCAACGTTCTTTTATGACAGGGTTCAGACAGAGTCGCTGTGGTGGAACTCGTCTGTATCGTATACTACCTGTGGTTGATTGACAGGTGTCGAGACGATGGAAATTAGTCCAGAGGACTTAAACGATTCCCGGCAAAAGAGCTTTAAATATGAACTCTTCCATGGAAAAAAAGATCTAACGGGAGGCAGACATTTTCGAGTTTATACCTTTCCTGAATTTAACAGTCAATCAATTTAAGAAGCTAGAGACCAGACAGGACTTACTAAAACTAATATGATAGGTCAATGATCAAGGACAAAGAGGAGTGCAAAGAGAGAGAGCACTTTTGAGGTGAGATTGGCGGCAGCGAATACTTGCAATTACGAGGACAAGGATGCAAAGTCACGAGGAAAGGTAATCCCCACACGTAATCTGGTGCCACGCTTAAGTGCCAGGAGGAAACACTCTTTTGTTTAAACTATCTACTTCTATTCTGGAGTCTGCCACACAGGTTGCCACATAGGCAAACCGAACGTTCTTTCTGAGTGACTGGTCGGACGCAACAGTGTTGGCTACATTGATTAAATGATGGCAGTTAATAGTGCTTCTGTCCGTATGTGGGACTTGTGTTGTGCGAATGCGTTCGCTAACTACGGTAACAAATTGATTTCCCCGAGAGTTAGAACTCTATGCTCTCCCATCGCCGATCTAATGGGCTCTGAAATCGATTACGAATGCCCTGGAGAAAGTGATTGTGGCCGCTTTAAGTAACTTTCTTCCTGGGGCCTTCAGGTTGGCCAATAGTTGGGATATCCCAGCCTGCGTGTAGAGAATGCGTGTGTTGCTGATCAAGAGTCTACGACTGCATGATGATTCTTTTGGATCCGAACAGAAAACATCGCAGATCAGAAGCGTGCCGGACGATATTTCAGTCCGAGTCAGTGAGTTCCAGACAATGTGAGGGTTGTCATCGAATGCTTTAACGCAGGGCTATAAAAAGGCAAAAAGTGGTGTGCCCAGCTAATGCCATAAAAAGCTACTAATGGTGTTATTGAAGGCAGAATAATACAGGTCAATAGTTTTATGACTTCTCAAGGCAGTTATTTTAAGGTCCTATGAGTGTTCTGATTATTACTGAGTTGAATCTGACAACTCAAGTTCGAAAATATAGGCAACCCAGGAAGGAAAAAAGCGAGGATGGTGTTGGAAAGGCGTTCTGAGAGTGGACAGTGCCTGTGGAGTAAGGGTGGAGTTAAATGAAAAAAATTACGTAAGGTAGGGGGACAACAAGACGTCAAGCTGTCGTGAGATGTGTGCTTAAGACAAAGAGGTCACCCATCTCGAGTCGAGGGACACTTGGCATCTGTCATAGTCAAGTGCCCCTGCAAAATTGTTAGGGTGGATTTCACTGACAAGGTAGCGAAGTTTGCCAGGAGTGCCACAAATAACACAGAAATAGCCAAGGCTCGAATGTCCCACCCCAAAAAACTCGAACCCCTGAGGGGTATTTTCACTTAAAAGGTTGTGTATTTGCCGATCTATCAGGCATTGCTTGTTTCTCGAATGGGACCTCTGCCGTCGCGCCGCCACGATGCAGCAATTATAGGCGATTGGCCCAGGTCGACCTCTTTATCGCCTTAATTTATGAGGTGCCGTTAGAGCTATGGCAGCGCGGAGTTCACGGGGTGGCGGCATCGGACGTCTCCAAACAACCTCGGCAGTATGTTTGATCCAATTGTGAAAAACTCGGCGGCCTCGGTGGAATTGGTACCCACGATGGCAAGGACAAGGCTTGAGAATAGCCAAGCAAGAATCTGAAACGTCAGACGAATCAGGCTTTTGTCTCAGCAATCGAGCCTCCTTTTCAGGATTGCTTCCCGGGACTCGTCTCTTGGCTTCCATTGGCGAACAGCCAACACTCTAACCACCTGAGCTACCACGCCCCACCGGGAGCCGTGCGTTTGACTACAGCTGGTCAAGGGAGGGAGCCGATCTCGCAGGTTATGACAGGTTGACACTGGCAGGGCGATATCATCAACAGAGTTGAGGTTGGCCAGCTGGTGTCGTGGTATAAGGTTGAGGGCCAAAATCCCACAGGACTTCAATCAATGTCAAAGGTAAATGGGATGATTGGCGAAATAAATACTTCTCAGGCGCAGAACCGAATATCGAGCAGTCACGCAAGGGTTCTGCAAACAAGAATAAGAGGTTTGGCAAAGAGATGGCAGGCAAAAGTATTTGCCGACACTCCGCCAAGTTCCATTATCGGCCGCAGTTGCTGACGGTGAGGCCAAATAAATGTCACAGCAAAGTCAAACAAAGCAAGCGGAAATCAACTGCCGGTAATCAGTGTAAAATGGAGATAAGCCACAGAACGACTATTTAGTGTGCCTGCATTCGGCCTGGAACCCGAATTTTTCCTTTGGAAACCGCATGAAAGTCACGATGTCAGAGTTGGCAGCCACAGTTGTTCTCGGGCTTTGCCTTGTCTCTTTTCGCTCTCACAGGCGCAGGAATAGCCGGCTTTCAATCAGTAGTTACGAACTCATCTACCCAACCTATCTCCACTTCTAACACATGGTTAGAGTCAGTGAAAATCTATCCCAACACCTCTGTATCATCTTCAGCACGGCCCATGAAAGGCTTCCACTTGAAAACCAATCTGGTGTGGATGCGAATTGTCTGAAAAACCCCTGAACGCCAATACCGCCTGAGCAGTGCTCGTTCGAGGCCGAAAATAAGTAACTCAAAAAGCAATCTAAGTGGATAGCCAAAAAAGAACTCACCTTAAAGAGAGTCAATAGGGCGATGCCACTGACTATGCAGGTCAGCCCGACGGCATTTCCGATGTAGTCCAGTGGTGTGAGAGTATTGCCCTCCTTGAAGAGGATAGCCGAGGCGATTAGAACAAATGCGGTAAAGAAGACGTAGAGCAGAGGTGTGACGACACTTGTGTTGAAGATATCCAATGCACGATTTAGATAGTTGAGTTGAACCGACAGGCAGAAGGTTAGGCTCAGCAGAAAGAACCAAAAGACCCACTGTGTGCAGATTGTTAGAATGCCGTGTTCAACAGCTTCCTGGGAAGAAAGTTGCACGCGGTTAAAGACATAGAAGAGGAAAAACACTAGAGTGAAATACCTGGCTAATAAGTGTCGACGTAGGTACCTGTGTACATCTATTCAAAATAAACGCGAATTTCCGCCAACATTAAGTCAAGTCTTCCTAAAGTTGGACTGAAGTGCCGGTGAGAGGAAACATGAGTTCGACAGGGGGCTACAGACGTAAAATAATGCGAGCCCTTGACTGTCTACCACTAATCCACGGAGGGTGCAGCCTAGCGACAAAATATGAGATCAAAAGGGCCAATACCAAGAGGCAAAACGACTTGGGTGGATTGCCGAGTCCCACCTAACTCGTGAAAGGCCAGTTACGTTAGACACATCAACGAGTGACTAGAAACAAGCAGGTACACACAGTTCAAGACAACGGGGAAAGTAGATCGATTTTATAGGATGGCGTGACACTTAAAAGGATCCGGACATGCCTTTATTCTGCGAGGTGGTGAAGGCAAGCATCAAGCGAATAGTTTTATGACGAGCAGACGATTCCACTATTGACTGACAACTGCAAGGCCCTCTCAGCCGCACACCAGACGCTGGGGCTGAACCAGAGTAGTATAATTTGAGGGAAAATGGGCAAAGGGATAAAAAACATAAGTGACACTGACTATGCGGGCGCCGTCCGAACCGTCGACCGGTGACGATGCAAACGGCTGGACAGCGCTATATAATATCGTTAGTACTGTTTTCTGAGGCTAGACTTGTGCCTGATCTCACAAGGTTTGAAACCCGGACATCTAATTCCTGCAGGTCAAACAACCGAAATGCGAAGGGAAAGACGCAAAGTTGGTCATGCTTTAGGGCGATACGTCTGTGTAGACGCGAATATAGTTTACGAAATACCGCGAATAAAACTAAACGGAAGCACCAAAGTAAACTACGAGAAAGGCAATCGAGCTGTGTATAGTGGGCGGCAGCAGATTGATTGCTTAACAACCACAAACCAACCACAGCAGGCCTTCCGTAACCTGTCAAAGCTCATTACACTTAGGCAAGGCACGATCTCAGACGATGATGCGATAATTGAATGCAATAGGGAAAAAACGAACAAAAAAGTTAATCTCGATCGAGGGAGCGAACAAGTTCCTTCAAAATGAGAAGTTGGCAATAGGAAACGGAGAAGGATTGGAATCCGGTGAAAACCGTCTTTTAGATGGGAAATAAAATAACAGTAGGCGAACGCAAGGAAGCGCATATGAGAGGCGTGGACTTCTAACTAACAGGTCGTAAGTTCAAGCCTCGGGTTTTCCACACTTAGGGGTTGGTATGACTGGCTGACGACGGCTAATAAGTCAGAAATGGTCATTCCAGTCTCCCTTGTCTTTGTCGGCAATGCCATTCTGCCTATATCATGCGCCGCTGTGCGGCTGCTGTATGGGCTCGAGGGAGAGCCCGTAAGGCACAACGGAACGAGTGAGTTCCGTAAGAACGATCGGTGAGCGCCCCCTACCATTATATATATATATATATATATATATATATATATATATATATTGTAAAGGTATTATACCGTACTCCCGACGTAGATACTTGCTAAAAGCCCAGACACGTGTTTCGCCGATATTCTGCCGCTGCGTGACACAGCTGCGAGGGGTTCGGCTCTTCAGTGGGACCCCCAGCGTTCTCTAGCGGTTTCTGGTATATGAACTCCAGAGAATAATCAAGCGAATAATTTCAGAAATTAATCAGTGCAGGACATGGAGTTAAATCTCCGGGACACGACTTTTTAGGGTCAGAACCGAAATTTCAATGAACATTTGAGTCGAAGACAATCAACTACTGTGGAATAACCACGTAATGCCCATTCTACAAACAAGTAGTACTACGAGTAGTATGAAATCCATATTGTAAAGGTATTATACCGTACTCCCGACGTAGATACTTGCTAAAAGCCCAGACACGTGTTTCGCCGATATATATATATATATATAGCAGCGAGGAGGGACGACAGAGAATGCGGGTAGATTGATACAGCACTGTTTCGGGCTTATTCTGCCTTCATTCAGCCAATCATAACCCTGACCACCAGCAGCTGAGACCAGAAACACAAACATGCGCACAGACGCACCTGGCGCAGTCGGTCCACCACTGAGGCCTACCAGATGGGTCATAAGCACTTCATCGAACCGAAGTTCATCAGTGCCTCGCCACCTGTCATTCTCTGTCGCTGCAGATCGGGTATTTATCAATGCGAGGAGGGACGACAGAGAATGCTGCTATTATGACTTGGCCGACTTCGGCCTGGTAATTGGTTGCCTGTTCGTGACCTTTGCCACACATACGGAGCTTGTTTGCTTTGTGAAGCCAATAGATCGGTGTGCGCCCATTCCCCATTGATATATATATATATATATTGTCGAAGACAGAAGGTTCGCCGGAAAAATTGAGTTGTACTCGTGAATTTTCGAGCTGGTGACACCAACCCGTCGTCAGACGAAATAAACAGAGGAGAAAGTGAAATGGTCAGACCAAATTGGTTGGCGTGACAGGGCAGCCGCTAATAGCTAAGCAACTAATCAATGAAAGGGAGGGGGATGGAGACATAATTAGGCTAGCGTCTGTGGTGGGGGAGGGACGAGGGAACTGTTACGGCTCCCTGTGTTGGAGGGTAGGGGGGGGGAAGGATGATTCGATTTGACTTCGGACGGTGGACTTAATGATCGTCGATCCGGCATGCGGGTGGAGGTCAGTGATCCAACGTAGAGGTGTTAGAAATTGCGGTTGCGGTTCGCTGTGTCTGGGGAAGGGGATGGCGAAATAGTCCGATTATGCATGGCCCGGTGTGGATTAGCGACAGTTGTTAGGTCGTAGGTGCAAGTCAGTGAGCCGGGTACGCAGACCTTCGTAATGAGCGTCTAGATCGACATGACGATTGATACTAGTTGTGCTAGAGTGCCAGGCTTCGAGAAATTCTCGGGCCTGTTTGGTGTTTGCCATGGCAACAATTTCAGTTCCTTCCCAATTGAAGCGATGGTCGCATTCAAGGGCGTGCGCGAATACGAGTGACAAATCACGAGTACAACTCAATTTTTCCGACGAGCCTTCTATCTTCAACATATTACTCGGAATGCACACTACCAAAGATCCCGGGTTCGAATCTCAAGTGATCCACACTTGGGGTTGGGTATGACTGGCTGATGAGGGCTAATAAGCCAGAAATGGCCATTCCGGTCTCCCTTGTCTTTGTCGGCTCCATCTCATCTATGTCTACTACTAGTCGCTGTGCGACTGCCTGCGAGGGTTGTAGTATGAGCCCCAAGGCACAACGGAACGAGCATGTTCCGTAACCTGATCGACGAGCGCCCACTGTCATAATTAATATTCCCGATCACAACCGACAGGACAACGGGCCCGTGGCTCAATGGTAGAGCGTCAAACTCCATGACCAAAGATCCCGGGTTCGAATCTCAAGTGATCCACACTTGGGGTTGGGTGTGACTGGCTGATGACGGCTAATAAGCCAGAAATGGCCATTCCGGTCTCCCTTGTCTTTGTCGGCTCCATCTCATATATATATATATATTTCGAAAGAAAACAGCTCTTTGGGAAATATTAAACAAGTTTTATTGTAAATTTTCGATCTTGGTTCCCCAAGTCGTCTTCAGACGTGAAGTAAGTGTGCAACACAGTTAACATTTAAACATGCCGAAAAATCGATTTTGCCTTGTTACTTCTGCTGGTTTAAGTCCGTTGAAAACGAAGAAGACTGCTTATTGTGTAGACTTTTGTGGCTGCCTCCTAGCTCGTCGCCAGAAATAAGGGCAACAGCTAACTTTTTAACCGTGTCTTAAAAACATGGCTAAAGATTGCGCCAGTGCACTCTCTTTGCATCCTGTCGCCCAGACTTGAGTGACTATGCGCGTCCCCACTTGCCATTGGGAATTTTGTACATGGTATCTAAATCGGCAGTCTATTAATGCATATCCCATCTGGGTGCACTGCCTCCAGGAGTCCGCGGCCTTCTTCGTCTGGTAGGTGCCGATGTTTGGGGTTTTCCCCCATTCAAATGCGTGGCGCCTGTCCAGTGTGTGCATGAACAGCTGGGATATATGATCTCGATTTCTCACCACCAGCTGGTGTTCATGTATGCGACTGGAGGCGCTGCCCACTAGGTATAAGTTCATACCCTGTCGGCTGCGACTGGGCGTAGTCGTATCACGCGGTAGTATTCCTTATTGATGTGGTCCGCTTCCTGAACAAAGTGCAGTCGCTGCGTTCCATGCTGGAGCCAAGATTAGCGCCCTCGCAGGCGGCGTCATTGCGAGTAGCAATCAGCACTCAGCATGCGTTGAGGCATACACGACTCGTCATTCGGCATCGTCAGACACGGGACCCGGAACAGGTTTCAAATAATAAAAATTAACCGCTGGTGGCCTCGACTTCCTCTTAGCAAAGCGCCAAAATCAACGGGGGATGCAGAAGACGTAATGAGGTCTTGCAAGGTTTGTGCCGACAGGTGCAAATGCAGTGACGTCCCACCCGAGAGACCTGGAATGAACAAAACAACACTAGAAAGATGTCTGTCAGCCTAGAAACGACGTTGGCTCGGTGCTAATCATATTTAAGGCGCAAACCAAGGTCGCCAAAAACCAGTTTCAGAGGAGACCGAAAGGACCGATGTCCACCACGATCCTCCTCAGCTTGAAAGAATTAGGGGCGGGAAAGGAAAGAAGGGCAAAATGTGCAGGTTACATGATATCGCCATGCAGAAAATAGGCTGAGCGCAAAGTGGCACCACTCTGGGAGGCAGTGGACAGGTGGCGGGAGGCAGGCAAGAAGAAAAAAATGGGAGACTTGAAGAACACTCACTTTGATACCCAGGCCAATGCCTTTGCAGGCCATCACTGAAAGGGAACCGATGCTGCCGCTGATGAAGACAAAGACGAGGGGGTTCCGCTGGCCAAAACGCGGCGCAATCAGGAAAATCGATATGATGGCCGCCACGATAATAATTGAGGTGTAGATGAGAAAACCTAAGTGCAGGAATCGGAAGTACACCAGAATAGTCCTATTATCAAAGGCTTATTGGGCAATGACGAATGCACTGTGGTCCTAGCCTGATTAATCAGTTTAGAAGTACGATGCAAAAACTGGCCAACAAACCGGCCTGAGTAGGACCACTTCATGAGGGAGACTTGGAATTTCAGATCGTTTGTTCGCCCAGACAAAGAATCTCTGCCTAAATCTCAGCAAAGCCACTCCTGCTTGGACCAGTCTCTTGATCGACCCTACACTCAGTTGCAAGCCCATCCACTTAGCGTACATGTATCTGGGTTAATTTCAATAATTAAGTCGAGGACATAAAGAGGAAATGTTTCCCAAATAAACAATCGGCATGTCAAATTTGTGGAGTTGTAGGGCTACTGAAAACTAGGGTTAAGCGTGTTGTAAAAAGTGGTAACGGGTTGGGAGCATAAAAAAGCGAAAATGAATTTTAAATCCGAAGCAAAAGAGTAGTGAATGTCCACGGAAGCACGAAAGACCGGAAGCCAAAAATTGCCAATAATAGTATCCAAACAACCCGTGAGATTTGTATAGTGTATTCAGACGCACAGCTGTGCTACGCCGCTTTTGCTGCAGGCCCCCTCTACGGTCACATTGGCTGATGATATACGTTAGTTGAACTGCATTGAGTCTGGATGAGTTCATAACTGTGTGGCCTTTATGGCACCTGGCTCCTGTGAGATCGGAGACTCCCTTGAAGCCTGGCTTTTGTGTAGTAGGAATCAGTACGTGTGACAAAGGAAGGCCATTCTGGTTTGTCAGTCGATGTACCCCACGGGCATCAACAGGGGCATGGTGGTTGAGGGAAGGGGGATAGAGGCAGAGGTTTCGCAAGTCTACTTCACTACAAACATATTAATGGCCAAACTGCTACTGCGTCGACCTCGTGGAACAGTGGTGGACTTGTGCTGGTCAAAGTATCGAATACTCGATAAGGCTGAGAAAGAACTCGAGGTCGAAAATCCAAAAAAGACTCACACGAAAATACCAAGCTACGGCGATAACCGGATGCAGGGTGTGCTCTGCATGGCAGGTAGTCCAAAGTCTGCAAAGTTGAGTCAACAGTCACGGTAAGCGGTTGACAATCACCTCGAAGCTAGCCACAAAAGCTGCACGGGAGACGCTGTATGAAGGTGTCGAAAAACTTGTCTGTGCTGAATAAACTGAGATCAGTTCTGATGCCTTACCCAGCTTCCCTTCCTTCGAAAACTGATTTACAAATAAACGTCTATCACTGCCTACAGACGGGAATCCTTTAAACTGTCCTGTCTACACAACCTACAGAAGGCGCGAAAATTCACGAAATCAATTAACATACCCTCAAATAGAAGATATTCCTTAAGTAGGGATGCAGTACTGACGAACAGAAAACGTTATCACGCATGATGACGAGCAAACTTTCGAGTGAAGACTGCCAGGTATGGGTGCTCACCTTGTTCCCGAAAATTTCGCCAAGTTTCGATTCGTACGTAGGTTTAAATATTTGAGGCGAATTGTCGATAAAGAATAGAGACACTGGAACGGCCGCTTATGACTACGCTGCCGTCATCAAACAGGGATAAACAAACACCGGATGCCGGTGCAACTCTGGGTCATAGGACATTTCAAAACCAAATTTTTTAGACTCAAGCTGCAGGAATGATACCGGAAATCGACTGACACACGACGGCGTTAAGCGGTCCATTTTGCTTGCCAAATGGAAACGAGTATTTTCGCTCTGTAGTCAGGATAAGTCGATGAAGGGCACTGGTGCACATTTTAAAAAATTCGGTGTTTTGAAAGCTCAGTAGTTCAGGTAACTTTTGCTAAACAATCTTAACTTTTACATACTCTTATGATTTGCTACATAGTTAGCTTGACCTTTCACTTTAATTTCGCTAGTTTTTGTGCTCTTATGTGACAGAGCACTCAAATGATACTGATATTGATCTGAAAGGGCGGGTATACTTCGTATGGGTGGTTTTAAAAAGGTACGCATACTAAAGATGTAGGCATATTTATCGGAACAACTTGAAAGTCTCTTTGATATCGACTTGTTTCAACCAGAAATACTTCGCTGCTTCAAGCGCATCTTCACATACATAAGTTTTTTTGCAAAATCGCTACTAGGAGCCCTTCGTTGACTTGTTTTGTCAAAAAGAGATTTACGATAAGACCCGAAGGTAAATGAAAAAAAGTGCACAGTATATATGCAAGGGAATAAACGCGGGAGGTGTCGACACGAATAGGCGGAACAGTTCTCAGTCGAAATCCGGCATGCATGCAAGCAGAAACCTACTCGAGATTATCCTCCCTTCTGAAAAAAAGTTCCATTCAAAATCGGAGGGGACAGTGCGAGGAAAAGACTGATCACGACCTAGTAGTCCTCACAGTCGTACTTTCTAGCGTGCGCGCATCGACATCTGCTTCACCTCCCCAAGCCCCATGTCCCCTGGCTCGGTCACCGATCTCAGGCCCCCAATCATATCTCCTTCATCCTTTTCGTCACACCGCATTTGGCTCTTTCGTCTAACTAATACTTCTCCCACCTCGTATGCATGCGAGTGTAGAGGTCTGGTAATTTGATGAAGCCGGTCATCCTACTATAACTTCTTCCTCGATTATGTGCCCTGTCTATCATTGTTGTAAACTCACTAAAGCAATGCCTTCAACTTGATGGAGCACTTAAGGCAGGCATGAATAGGCCACGAACTTTGCCGCCTACTGCACTCTTGTCGCTTCCAATAGTACAGAGTGCGCATACGGTGTGTCCGCAAAAATGTACTACTCCGAGGCAAACCATCAAGCTACTTTTGAAAGCCAATGGAAAAAGTAAAGACGCACTATTTGTCATGTTCACTGAACTCGCAGGCGTGGGCAGATCAAAACGCAAGGTTGCGACGCTCACGCACCAGGAGCAAGGACAGGTGACCTTAAAGGTTGTCTGTGCCAAAGGGAACGTCGGCTGGAGGGTCGACTTTGAGTTCTGAGACGATAGTCCTCAAGTTTGTGAGTGGGTGTGGACAAACGAGCATGCAGTCACTAATAAAACAAAGTGGGCGCCTGCAGCGCAAGCATGGGCAAGTATGGAGGTCACACTCAATGGCAAGATATAAAAGTGCTCAGTCTGGAAATCGACAGAAAGACAGACGAGATAGTTTCAATTGACACTGCAGTCAGTGTGTTGAGTGCGTTCAGCCCTTTTGACAGTTGACTCGACCAGCGCGAAAGTTAGAAAGGGTCGAATGGACTCACACAACAGTGAGTGATGAACTGAATTGCCGTGAGGAAGGGTATTTCAGTATCGTCCTCGCTCTCTCCTTCGTCTCCCATGCACTAGTGGCATGACTGTTGGCTGATTAGTTGTGGGGTTAAGTACAGCGGCGGAGGTGGAGCAAACTTCCGTCTAACGCGCACTGTGTGCGCGTACGACAACAGTTATGAACTCATTCAGACTCAACGCCGTCCGACTAACGCATATCATCAGCCAATGTGACCGCAGATGTGGTCTGCAGCAACAGCGATACAGCCCGTTTGTGACAATCTGGATCTGATTGAACAACTTCGGCCACTTGCAAGGCTGTCGATTCACGTCAACGTCTTTTTAGCAGGGCGAAAACGCTGTTCAGAGAGCGATTAAAAAGCTAATTAAAAGTATCTTAATCAAAATGGATGTAGTGTTCACTTATGCGCACTGACTGCAGAAGGAACATACGCAAAGGTTTTGCCTTGTCTTAAAGCTTTGGTCCAGTGTCGTCTCTCTCTCTGAACCTTGCAGAGAATGCTCTTCAGCAGGTGGGATTGTTCTTAAGAGCGTTTTTGCTGTAGTTGCACTAATTGCAGAGCCAAACGGATGCTGCCCTTCTGACGAACAATTGTTCTTATCCATGTAAATTTATACATCTCATGGTGGTCGTTATTCCTATTCAAAACTTTTGGCAGTTTGGCCACCGTTGCTAACGCTTTACTGATTTGGGACGGGAACTGCATTGCAATGCGTACAGATTATACAAGCAACACTCGTGATGCCATCCCGCATAGGAGCACAGCCTGGAAATTTGGCACACCTAACCTGGAGAGAATAAACATGTGCAAGCAGGGACTGAAGACCGATGACAGAGAGAACGCAAGGACTGCGTAATCGAGGCACAACTGTAGGTCCAGCAGGATAAAACATTCAGCAGGAAATAGGCAGACCCATTTGCAAAGGAGTCCGCATACAGCACTGGTTGTTGCGCAAACGCAAACCCAGGGACGCGAACATTTCAGACACGGAAGCAAAAATATACCCAGTAACCTAATTGTGGAATAAATATGAACCCTTGGTTTAACAAGCCACTCATACGAGGTACCTGGACTAGATTTTCAACGATAGACATGCCAGACGATATCCTTGTCTAGGGTTTTCAAATAACGGGCTACCCTCCCTCGATAGACATGTGTCTATGATAGGTAATTGAGTATGTACTGAGCGTCCTGAAAGGGTGGGAGTGCGACCCTAAATGGAGTTGGGCCCTCGGAACCCTGGCCCATTCGACTGACGAAAAGATGCGTCTGCCACCACGTAGAGGAACAGCTAATTCTCACGCATGCCAAGTATATTTTCGTTTCATTGTCAGTGTGAGGCGACTAGCCCTATCTTCCGTGGCATTCTGCCGTCGTACCCCTACTGGCAACGCTCCAGTGTGCGATGACATTAGCAATTACGTCAGCACGCACACTCCTCTGTAAAACAGCACACTGCTAACTCCTGACCGCAAGGTGACTTGTGTGCTCACTATTTGCTAAGATAAAAGCCTGCACGACTGCTCGCTGTACCAATAGACCTTTCTAATTATTGCATCAAGTGGCTGAAAAAGGTACTTCGAAGTATCTTTGGGGCAGACTGGTAGCAGCTTTCATGCAGCATCCTCAATTTGCGTGAAAATGTTAGACGGCCATAAACGCGACAAATCCTCCCCCTAGCCGTCACCCAGTTTAAATCCGTGTATGACTTAGATGTCTCGGTAGAAAAGGGAGAAAAGGTTGTCAGATCTTCAGATTGTTCCCCATCCACAAAAGCATACTGGTCGCCAGATATGACCAAGTTTCTAGACGTCGATTTGAGTCCCTCTGAAGAGTAGACCCGAACGAACTACTTGTAACGACGTAAAACCAGGCGGGAAATACTCAGACACTTAAGATTACTGCATGATCGGTAGACTGACTCCGAAGGATGTAAGTGGTACGTTAGAGTTCCTAACGTGGCTGTCGCGTTGGTCCGGCGTAACGTCCGCGTGGCCCGTTGTAGGAGGACCAAAACGATCAGGACTTGCCGGAGCGCAAAATCTGGAGTAACTTACGGAGGGAGGAATCTGGGACGGAGCTGTTATTTTCACCCTCCTCGTCCACCGGGGGGGTTTTTTCGCCTTTAGCCTAATATCAATTACTTATCCCAAGTGTAGCGGCATTTTCACCCGTTTACTTGTGCCAATTGCTGGCATCATCCGAGGAATACATCCTCGTTAAAAGTTATAATTACATTGGAATAGAAGTGGATCCTCCCTCCGGCTTCCTACTTGCCAAATGACGTTTTTCGCGACAGACCTCCGCGGTATGCTGACTATTCAATAAAATCTGGCGGTTTTTTCATGCACCTTCGTCGGGCCTGTAAGACGTTGCAAATGAACTTTTAGAGCTTATCTAAAGTTACTCCTTTGGTTTCTCATCGAATTCCAGCAGCAGCAACAACAGCAGCACCACCATCATCAACGTAATGCACGGCAGCTCTCACTGCAACACCTGATGCACGAAGTTCACTTTCAAAAGTAGCGGGTGAGTAAGCAAGCAGAGTTGTGAATGTACTTTTTAGACCACAAGAACCAAAATAACCAGAACAAGGACAGTGGGCGGAAAGTCAATAAGAGGCATCATTGCAGAACCAGCAGAGTACAACACAAAATGCCCGATCACAACACCGCAAGGTCAAGAAGTAACCACCACTTTGACTAACAAAAAAAGGCTGGATTCATGCCAAACGCAAGATGAGGAACCCTTGTGAATGGATAAGACTGGCACGAAATAAGACAACGGTTCAAGCTACGTCATGATTCAGATAACCATGGCCCACGCAGCCTGTTGTGCATTGCTAGTTCTCTGGCACCTGGTTCCCTGCCGGCGGGTGCGCTTGCGCTCCTGTTGGGTATACAGGCCGTGCGCATGGTTACCCAGTGACTTGTTTCATCTCCGTCCTGACCCACTTTTGTTATTGGTTAAAATACTGGTAAAGTGTTTGTTGTGGACCAGGGGGTGTGGTGATACGCCTAGGCACGGGTCAGGTCGTGCCAGCCCCTGCGCCCTCTCCCGCCTTCGTTGTTCTAGACTATGTCCTGACACCGAGCTCAGGCGAGAGAGGGGGAGTGCGGTAGATGCTGTGCAAGTCTACCACCACTATAAACTAACCCAGCCATTGTGCCTGCTCTCACCTTGCTGTGGGGCAAACGGTGTACATTGCCGACAACGACGGTCGAACTGTCAGAAGGAAATCAGGTATCATGTGCCCGTAGTGTGAATTGTTTAGTGCTTAAACTGACAATCGCACTAGGGTATAAAAGACTTGGAATTGTAGTTTAAACGAAGGTCCACGAAGCACATTTTGTAAAGCAAAAGCGCAGTCGAAATGACGCAATGGAGACGCCTACGCATCCATCGTTGAAGTTGTCATGGGGAGACTTTAGGACGTATCGCATGTCACGGGGTTACGGGAGACATAATCCGGACAAGTGTCGTCTAAAGACCGAACGGTTGGGTAAGATGACCGGCAAAACAAAAACGGAGCGGTGCAGGAAATAATTTCGGACATCACGAGGCGGAGGAATATTAAGTGAATAAACAAGCCCGTACTAGTAGAATCTTAGCAAAACAGAAACAGTATTACCAAATATGACGAGCCAATCGGAGTTCTGCCAACAAAGTGCAGTGCGAAAAGACTTTGTAAGAGGTAGTTAGTCCTTCTCTATGACATCTATGCCCATACTTTCGCCTCGCTGGCTCGTTTCTATGGCAACGAAATGCAGCCTTTCAATGGAAATACGAATCCTTACAAAAATTAAGGTGGTGTTCTCACTTCCAAAGAAGACCTGCTGTGTGCTCCTGTGAGAAAACGTCCAACTGACAAACGGTAGTGGCTCGTAGACTGCGAAGCGATGCACAGACAAATTTGGCAGAGGAAAAGGGCTTTGGTTCTTATCCGTTAAAGAGTGAAGACCGCGAAGTTAGAATGAGATATTCAGCCACCTTTTGGCACTTAAAACAAGAGACTTAAACCTCAAGCGAGTTCATGAAGTAATTATAACCTGAGGCCAGGTAGGTAGTCTGTGCCGATTTCCTTTGTAAATAACAGGATAATCAAGTTTATTACAGATAAGCTTCGCGGTCTAGAGTCTGAGAGAAAAAGGATTTAATCATGGCTTTAGGCCGGATCTGGGGAAAATGTTACTTCTAATGGAGAACAATCAAAGTTCGAGGTTAAGGAGAAGTTGCTGCGACTACTATGTTCATAATGGCCCGTCGCCACTAGTGTCCGACAAAAACTACGAAATTCCCGGAAATTGCTTTAAAGGATGCTAAGTTAAAACGTCCCTCAGGAGGGAGATAGATGAGAACTTGAGGCTAAAGATTTGAACTCAGAAAACGTTTGTGCGAAATGACGAAGACAAACTGGAGTCGTGAAAATCCGGAAACTACTTTTCTCTGTCGTACCAGGTTGGATCCAACCATGATAAGCTGTTTTAGCACAAGTATGATGATCAAAATTTCATGACGCACCCAAGTATTTCGGGGCATGCAATGCATGGCAAACCTCGGAGTTCCAGTGAACTTATAGAGTACGATGCAAGTAAGTTTATACTGGAACGGCTGTAATGACACAATCTCTGTAGGACATTATTCTATGGCTGAGCACCAAATCTTGCTGCCTAAGTGGGAAACAGCTGTACTCGAGTGTTTTCAAGAAAGGAATTTAGAAAATACACGAGACGCAACCATCCAGCGCTTGTTGGGGGAGTTCAATCGCCTGTATGCTAGAGGTTTACAGCTTCTGGTATGAACGATAAAAAGTACAAAGCGAACCAAACAGCTCTTATGGAAGGTGCTTGGTCATGTAAGCATAGGGCAGCGAAAACGTAAATTACATTTCAGGGGCAATATATCAAACAGCTAGATGTTGGCTAAACCCAAACGAGGCATAATTAAGAGCCGCTGGGCTTATGCTAGGACTTGAAAGACTGTAGACTAAGTTACTGTAGTCAGATGAACTCACAACTGAATGGCCCAGCAGCGACAATACAAATTCGCAGCCTGTTGGCGGTCTCGCAAAAAAAACGAAGTACGTCTATTAAAGTGTAAACGATCTCAATAATTTGTTCGTAAATCCACAGGTTGTGACCAATGCTATTTTATGACAGATGTGCGCTCATTTATCGGGTTACGGAACATGCCCGTCCCGTAGGTCGTTAAAAAGGAACTCGTCTCTCTAAATGTTGGGGATAGAAGATAGTGACTTTCGAGGCTTTTGCGTCAGTTATCGAAGCTTGGGTTTCCTATGATGATTATAATGACAGAGGGTAATGGGAAGGCGAAATGGTGTCCAGGCGGTTCGAAGAGACGAGCTCTCAGTTCGATTAGTTCAACTACTGCCATTACCAGGAAGGAGCATAATATGCGGGAATGTCTGGTACATGGCAGAATTGTCACTAGTTGTGAGTAGTAGTCGAGGTTTAACGCAAATAAAATCATACAAAACCAGAATATACACTAGAGAGCAAATAAATGTGCTTTCTGGTAGAGAGGGAGCGAGATGGAAAACAACTATAGAAGAAAAAGTGAAATGGTATTTCCAAAAATTCAGTTATACATAGAAAAAAAGCGTACCGGGATCGAGGATCTTTTCACTCAGTTCCCGTAGCGTTTGCACCTCCTGCTCTTTGGGGGCGTGTAATACGACCATTGTTGACCCACAGAGACATACTACGCAGCCGATTTTTCCTGGAAAGTTTAAGTCCTCCCCGAGGAAATGAGAACTAAGCACGGCGCTGACGAGAACAGAGAGGCCGCCCATCGGCGTAACCAAAGAGGCAGGTGCGAAAGCGTAACCGGCAAAGTTGGCGCCCTCCCCAATGCCCATGAGAATAAGACCAAACCACCAAACCCAATCACACAGATACTGCAGTCCTCCATCGCCTAGATAAAAATAAAAAAATACTGAGTAAGCAAAAAAACTCAAAATGAGTTCAAAATAGGTGAAAGTGGCACCTAGACGAAGTTGGGATAATATAACTCGGTTTCATGCTCTAGGTAGACAGTTACGGCCTTTCGTACAGGTTAGCTGTATAAATAGCAAATTTGCAATATTTCCGAATATTAAACAAACGAAAGACAAAAAGTTTATTTAAATATCCGACAGCACTGATGTTGGACAACGTTCAGTCACATGTTGAACTTTGACGGGTTCCCTGTGTGCTGAGGGCCAGTCGATTTTTCCGATACCGAGATTGTTGTTGCAGCTGCTACTGATCTTACTCTCACTGTATCTTCATAAGTGGTATCTATTTCAAGGAATATAAACCGGTTTAGAGGAAAGTCCAACATATACTTTTGCCAAAGTCGGACTAGTGGAGGTTTTCGATCGAGAGCTGCTGACAAATGAGCCCTCCAACTTGGCATAAAGAAAAGTGATTTAGGAACTGCCAAAAGTAAGAACCCGTCAACAGGTGAAATAAACAAATGCTTGACGACTATGAATTGGGCCCGATGGTACTAAATTCACACTTTTGACGGCGACGCCGTAAATGAGATTAGATTGGGACAATTGGTTTGTGTTCGAAATTCCACACTCCGCACTCTTCTCCCAGAGAATACGCAGTGGAGGTACATCCAAAATCACACTGGCTGTCATGACGAAATAACGGAGCATAGGACGTTCGGGTTTTCTGGATTGCGGTTCGATGTCCACTTCAGGTAAGACATTACAAGGAAATAATATATGACAGTGATGATAAACGAAGATTTCACAGGTAGCCGCGATTCACTGAAGTTAAGTTCAGGGTTGTTTGACCCCCAGTCACTTAGTTCTCGAACGGCTTTTTAGATCCTGCACGACTTCTTAACAAGTGTGCTAACAAATGGGTAAAATCTACGAGTGTCTAAAAGATTGGCGGTTTTCTTGAGTAAACTGTGCAAAATATTAGAAGATACTGTCTATACGAATACACGATTCCAAACTTAATTGATCATGAAGATGCATCTAAGAATTAATAAGTTTACATGTAACTTGAATACAAACTAAAGCACGGTGATGACACAGTTAGAAGAAAAAACCAATCACGGGGCGCGAACCCTAATTTACATATAACCACAGCTCCCATAAAAATTTAGTTTACGAAGAGGACTAGACAAGTCGTCAGTGAATTATGTGAAAACAGCGTTGCCAAATACTGTAAAGTGTAGCGATTGCTACATTCGACTTAAGTCAAACTCAGCAGAATTAAATACAAACCTGCACGAGTGCCGTTGGCCGCAAGCCTGCGTAATGCTATTTTTTTAACAATAAAACTGCATCCGATAAAAAGTGTTGAAAGCAAAGCCAGTGACAGTCCAATATAGAAATTAACATCGGGGGTTGAATCAGACGGCATCACAAGTCCTGCTGAACACAAGTTCAAGTTAGGAGGTCTTTGTCTAAACATTCAAACACAAGCTTGATTTGTTGTACCGTCACCACCCCCTCAATATCTATCTGCATGGGATAATGTCCTTGAGCACACTTGTTTGCAATGCTGTGCAACTAACTAACTGAACAATCCGAGGTCAATTCTGTAGGACAGAAGCCCATTTTGAGCACCATAACGTGACTGGAAATGACCTACATATTGGTCTGGAAATCCAATTGCCTCTGGAAATTTTTGTGCTGTTCTATTACGAAAACTCAAGCAAAACACAGTGTGGCAGGACAGAAACATAGCTTTGTGTCAAAGGTACACAATAGCGAGAAGGCACGACGGAAGATCCATAACGTCGACAGAGAGTTTGAGAGACAAAAACCAAAAGGGGAGGGAAAAGATTTCAAAAGAGGATAAAGTGCGCTAAAAGAAAGTGGCTACAAATTTGTAAGAAGGAGTAAAATGTCGAAAAGTTAATCTCCCAGAAAGAGCGTAAAACAGATGACTTATGTTTTAGGAGGGAGAAGGAATATCGGGACTATTATTTTTGGATTTATTTTTGACGGAGTTACCAGGGTTAGCTAAGAGCAGATACAAATGAACGAAATTTAATCGGCAGTTGGTGATGAGGATCTCGTTGTTCTGCTTCTAGACTGATCACCAACTTCTAATTACGTCCTCGAGCAATTTCCTCTAGTGGGTGACTACAGAAAAATCGGACAGTCAAATTAACACTCCAAGCATAAATTTAGTATGGACAATCAATGTCTTCTTTAGAAGGGAGTCTCGTGGTTAAGCTGCCAAGCGCATGAGTGGAATCCTCATTTAATTCTGAGGTCCTCAGAAGTTGGGAATGGAGGGGTTTTGGAGGAAATCTGAATTAACCTTTTCAGTGTTCTATACTATCTCATCGGCGTCAACTAAATCAGCGGGGATGTCTCTGCCGAAAAGTTAAATATTCAGCGTTCAAAAAGTCAGTTTAAGCCAGTTTAAGTCAGTTTATTAAGGGAATGTGACTTTCGCCCTTGAGCTCCCTATTTATATCGATAAACAGAAATAAAATCATCAATTACATCAGCAAATGCGGAAAGTGAAAAAATTAACGGTAAGTGTGAGCCAGGCGCAAACTGCCGCCGCTAAAACAATCGTTATTGTTTTAAATTTGAAGTCCTTCCCCATAGCGACAATTTTCGCGGTTTTTGATTCATCTCCCGCATTCCGACCTCATGCGGTCTGTCGACGCTCACGGCGGAACCCTCAGTATTCGCTGTCTACTAGTATTTCGGTCGTACCTCCCTTCCCCACTGCTCGGCTGAGCTCGAAGCGTGCTGTGGCCGATCGCATCTGGGTTCCTCTCGTCTGGCCTCTTTGACGCGGCGTATCAATCCGGCCCAGACGATCTCAATTGTGAATCCCGTATACAATGCCATATGCAAGCCAGTCCTGTCTGACCCACATTCGTACCCCTAAACGCTGAGATTTATTGCCACCCTGACGAGGACCGACAACATTCCGTTATATACCGCCACCTACAGGCCAGTCCTGCTCGCTTTTTTCTGTCATTATTTTTATTGCGGGGTTTTTTTCCCCTGTAAAATTAATCCAATCATTTTTAACTTTTTGTAAGGAGTTTTTTTTCACCCCTCAATCATCATGTTTTTCAATGGATTTCTAATTCAGAAACCATGAATCGCATTTTGTAAAGATTCGGCCTACCTCTTCTAAAACTCGCATGTAAATTTATTTTAACTTGCTTTGATGGGACGCCGACGGGTCTTTAATAAAAATTATCTATCTATCTATCTTTCTATCTACAGTAGTTTCTCAACAAATGAGCATCTAGTCTACATTTGAAGGAATCGATACTTTCGGAAAGAACCACCACATCAGGGAGTCCGTTCCATGCCCCAATGACCCTGTGAGAGGAGGCGTTCCGTCGGACGTCCGAATGAGCCAGCTTCCTCTGCAGCTTGAAGGGATGACCACGCAGGCGGTCAGTCCCGGCCAATTCGAAGAATTCATCAAAGTCTAGGGCACACTCACGACCTCTGACAATCCTGTACGTTTGAATGAGATCGCCGCGCAGTTGCCTGTAATTTAGAGGAAAAAGATTTAGTTCGGTCAGCCAGGTTTCGTAAGGCTAATGATGAAGATTCTTGACCATCTTCTTAGCCATCGCCTGTACTCTTTCCAGTCGTTGATAAGCTTTCTTTAACCACGGTCGCCAGGCCTGAACTGCATACTCTAAGTGAGACCGGACGAATGCCCCATAACTTCTTCCAAACAGCTCCTTGCCGATCTGCACAAATCCTCGCCTCAGCGCAAATAACATCCTTATCGCACTTTTGACTGCCCTTTGATACTGTGATGATGGTTTCAGCGAGGAGGTCATTATGACGCCGAGGACTTTCTGTTCCACAACATTTGAAAGGGGCTGACCACCAAGGACGTATTGACAGGAATCGTGCTCCTTACTGGTCTTTTTGGTGCGGAGTCTCAGGACCACACATTTGTCCACATTAAAATTAAGGAGCCAACGAGCTGACCAACTCTTCAGTCGGTTGAGACTGTCTTGAAGCGCGTACCTGTCTGCGTCAGATCTGATGGGTCTCCACAGCTTAACATCGTCAGCAAACATGATGGCGCTGCATCCCAAGTGTTTTAGAACTGATTGAGGGCGTCAAACGCTGATAACTCACCATGTCTTAAATTGACCCTTCAAAATAAATTTTTATTTCGGACGGCGTAAGGAGACCTGTGCGGTGAACAGTCTTCGAAATATAATGGAACACAACTCGCACAAATGATACGGCAATATCATGGGATAGGAGTTTTAGGCAGTCTCTCAATAAGAAGTTGATTCATTCGTGTTTTTGTACAAATACTTAGATATCGCTCAAACGGACAAAAGATTTGCCGATGCATCATTCATGGACAGTGCCCGTAGACCGGCAACAAATATCATTATTGTTATTATTATCATCACCGTTGTCATTTCGCATATCAAAACCATACGTAGTCCAGACAAATCATCTGCTCGCCGGGGATCATATATAATAATAGCCGTTTTCTTGTTAAGCACCTGGAGGACACTACCAATGCTAAGTGAAAACTGATTTAAGGAACAAAATAGGCACCAAAATCAGGAATGGGTGCACGCCGACCTATTGACATCCTGTAGCGAACAAGCTCACTATGGGTAGCAAAGGTCACGAGCATACCGACGTCAGCTAAATCGAAATAACGCAGGAGAGGGACGACGGAATGACACAGCACCGTCTTGCACAACGATGTTGGATTATAATATAGCCCGAAAAACAAATGGCACAACGGAGTTTGGAAAAGAAGTTACATAAAATAGTAACAGTGTTTCCGGCACGCCGTCGATTTGTCTTTTCGCACACAATACATATCAGATTAATAAGATTAAAAATTGCAGTTTTAGATATAAGCAGACTAGTTCTTCAATTTCTAGTAATAATAATTTATTTAATGGCAGTTCACAGGCATTGTCAAGGGAAGCGAATAAAAACAAAACCTACCAGCAGTGAAAAAAAACTCCTGAGGTAAAGAAATAAAAATATAGTTGATGGTGGTTTTTATGGTTTGGAGGGTTCAGGAGAAAAAACTGCTGGTGGCAGATTTCGACCGTCAAGAACGGGGGAGGGGGGTTACAGGGTATCGGAGATTATCGGACGTCAATTCCTTTCATGAAGTTTGGGATAGTCAAAGTAGAGGCGTTGAGGAACAGCTGTCGCTGTGGGCCAACAAAATTGACCCTGGTGAGACTGGCCATAGTGTTCAGAGACCAGAAACGCCTTCGATACGGTATAGTCGATCAGTGGATTCAGCACCCAAAATGTGTGGGAGTTTTTCTGAATACAAAAATCGAGTAATAGTTCTCTTATATAAAGGATAATTT